AGTGTTACAAAGATTAGATCTAGAGTGTTACAAAGATTAGATCTGGGATAATAAAGCGTCAAACGGTACGCCATAGCTCCGGACGTCCAATAAGCATACAATGCATTAAGTCGAGCCAGATACTACGAAGGGGCGACGTACCTAGGGAACTAAGGGGCGGTGTGCGCACGGATGCCCTTGCGTCAGTCGGCATGTATTGCAATTAAATAACGTTGACGAGCTTCGACGCGTCGGATAAATGTCGGAGAAGGTGGGCGGGTCGACAGCAGCGAGGGCCCTCTATTTCGGCGACGACTTCTGGTTCCACCACTGGGACGACCTGCTCTCTGCAAACTTTGGGACGTCTCTGTACATCAGGCTGCGCGCCGTCAACACTCTGCTCGCCGTTCTTGGGCCAGCCAGCACGAGAGGCGGTCAACAGCTTGTGTTCTTGATCAAGTTGTGTTCGAGCTCGTAACCCGGCCTCACCGTTGTACGATTTCCGTCCATTCCCCTGCTCTCCGTTGTTGAGTTGCTAAGTATTGACCGTCAGATGAAGTTGTTGCTTCTTGTACTGCCAATATGCGGCGCTTTGTCCACCTGAAGACCAATTTGCCTCTTCCTTAGCTGTAGCTACATAGTCACCGCGTAAGTCGGCCAGTAGACTGGAACGTCTTTGACTTATATCTATTGTCTCTAAACCATTCCGCTACAGATGGACTTGTACTAGTATCAGTGCTGATGTGATGCCTGGCTGCTCACCGCCTTCGCGGGTTCATTCTGTGCTTCATCCACTCTGCCGGCGCCGACAAACTCTGAGAGCATGCAGGTGCCTTCATTTCGTGAGTTCTCTCCCTTTCTTCGCGCAGCATCGTTGCTGACGTTTAGCGAACTCTGGAAGCTCAGCGATCTCGTCAAACGCGTGCGTGAGACATATTTCATCGTAAGAAAACCATAAAGGTGCGCATACACTACAATCTACGCCATGCCTCTCAGCATATGCCCGCCTACGGCCGTATATCCGACCTGTCCGTACAATGCCTTCGCACATTGGTCGGATTCATGGCCGAGGACTGACTGCGGCCGTCCTTGCGTTCGACGTGTATTGCAGCCGCTCTGGGTATGTCACGTTCGCGTATGTCCGACGGGCCTGTCTGACACACATTTAGTCGTTCGTCCATTTCGCCTACCTGATATGTGTGGTGTCGGATCATGGTCATTCTGTGTACCGGATAAGTGGATTACTGGTAAGCCGTCCGATCCCGATCAGTGTAATTGGTATCGCTGAGGTCGTCTTCGCAGTCGTGTAGATGTTGTGTGCCTATCGCTCGCACACGCTACATTGAAATGTACCCCCGTCCATCCAGACTTTCATTCTGCATTTCAGACTGTCGTCCCTGACCAGCGTGCGTCACGTAGATGATGATATGCGCGCGGAAGAGGCCATTCAATCGCGTGTAAGATGGACAGTGATCATACCGAGGTCACGACACCGTCGACGTTAACCGGGGTGGTCGCGTGTTTTCACGACTATGTCGATGCTCGAGGGGATGCAATAGGGTATACGAAGGACATGTATTAGCCAAGCACGAAGGCCAGCATACAACTGGTCACGCAAGCGAGCAGTGTGTCATGTTGGACTCGCGACCGCACAGCGTCGACTTATCGCTCATCTCGGCGACCGGAGTAACTGAAGCTACGGATCCTCTACAGCACTCTTTGCTGGTACTGGATCGGATGCCGCACTGGCCCGCGTGTTCGCTTCTTCTGTTCATAACCGTGCGCAGCCTCGATCCCACGTCTATGTGGTCCACCTTGCTTATCGATAAGCATTCTTTGAACAAGCTCAAGTCTTGGACACGCCTGCCTCGCGCGCGCTCATCACAACGAGGTGCACTGCATCCTAGGAGAATGGTCTCCTGTATGTGTTTCTCGTGCACTCGCCGCTGAATGTTAGTGACGTGAGTATCGCTTCAGGCCGTAGAGGGCTATCCTCGCATCGGCTGCAAACAGCCCGGATCTCACAGCGTCCACTGAAGCACAGAAGCGCTTACGACGTCGTGTGTCTGTGTTCGACGCTTCTATACGCGCCGGCGAGCTAGCGCTACGTTGTATCGATGCATATATGCATCACCTATCTTCGCCTTCGCTGTCCCTGCGTTCTCTCCCTCGTCCAGCTTCGAGTTTTTGCAGCGCGCGCCAAGAGCCATTGAACGTCTTCACGAGGTACGATTCCGCTTTCGCCAACGAATATCTTTACTGACATCGTACTTTCCTTCCAGCTTTGCGACCACCAACGGTCGCCAGCACCCCGCGAACCGACGACCAAGACGGAGCACCTTGGCTTGTCTGTTAGACAGTATACATACGGGATATCAGGTAGTGTGTTATCGCACTATACTTGTTCTTGGAGAGCCGCGGCCTGAGGTGACGCCATTAGTAGCGTGCTTCCCTCGTCAAGGGTCTGCGTCGCTGTCGCCACGCGTGCAGGAGCCTTTCATCGGTCCGACAGCGCAGTTCACGTCGCCGTAGCGCACATACCACGTCCACGGAATGGACAGAGTCGAGTCGATGTAAGTGTCATTGTCCAGACGCGAGTACCATAGTTTACACATGTGGATTATAGAACAACCGCATCAACGTCCGAGGGCTCCTCTTACGGACGTTCGAGCCCGCGGCTTCCCGTGGAGGTCTGGGAACGGATCATCGACCACATAGCTACGGAATGGGATATCTATCATACTGAAACCGACCAGCCACATTTGAACACTCTCGCATCCTGCGCGCTCGTATGCCAAGACTGGTACTACCTCACGTGGTATCATCTTCGTGAACGCGTACATTTACAAGACCGGAAGGAAGTGGTCTTGCTTTCCAAGACAGTCCGCGCAAGACCTCGCCTCCGTGAGGTCATTCAACAGGTCGTCATATCGGGTGGTTCTCCCGGGGAGCGTCAGCCGATCCGGCACCTGGGGACGTTTGCCGCTATGCTCGCGGGCAAGGCTCCGAATATGTCGAGGATCAGCATTGAAGATGCTGAGTGGACCATCGGCTTGGTCCGAACACATGACATCGGCTACCTAGCTGCGTTCAACTGCATTGACACTCTAAACATCGTTAATGTCACCTTGTCGAGCGCCGCCCAGCTTCGTCACCTCGTTTCAGCACTCCCGCGGCTTATGAATCTATGGTGCTACAACGTTGATTGCTCGCAGGAACAAGTCTCCCTGGCCTCCTTCCCACTTGTAAACTTCCTGGAGGATCTCGATGTGCGATGGGTTGCACCAGCAGTCGAAGACCTCTTCGTGCAGATCGGCCGGGCTTCTCGAGTGCGCGACCTCGCTGTTGGGTTGCGCGGTGAAATGGATCCATCCTCAGCAGTCAGCAGAAGCCAGACTTTGCTGGATGCGAGTTGTATATATGCAGAAACGGTTGCGCTCCATATGAATCACAGTTCTCCTGTTCGTGATGGTGCAATTGATGCCACAGTCGGAAAGTCTTCCCAGTTTTCTTTTGAGTCACTTGGCTCATTGTTTCTTGCCTACAGAACAACATTACAACCTTTCATGCTACGGCAACTTGTGGAGGCTGGAGATCATGCTGTACCACCCCTTTGCAGAGTGGTCCTGGATCCCATATATCCTGTCTCACATCGTCTCGAAACGCTTCCAAGCTATGTCTGTTATAACAGTTCACACGGCCTATGACCTGGACGATGTGCTGACGACAATGGAGCAGGATGATGTGCTGGCGCGATTGGACAGTATACTGCAGGAGAAGCGCTTCTCAGGAGTTGCATCGCGCGGCGTCTGTATAGGCATTCGCGGTGATCGCAACGCTCGGGCGTCTGGCAATGAGCTTAGCTCGGCACTACTAATACGGTACAAACGGTTCGACAAGCTCGTCAGGCAGAAGATGCCGCACTCGCATGCACGAGGTATATTGAGGTACGTATTCTAGTACTATGGGCTTCGTCAAATTGCGAAAGAAAACTGAGTGTCCTTCGGAGCACTGTGCATAACTTCCCAGACTACTGTAGCGAACCCCACAACCCGGATGTCACGCGTCACAAACCCGCCGCCCGCCGCCGCGGGGACGACATGTTACACGTCACACCCGACCCCGCCGCCGGCGCCAACACTGTCAATAGGTGCTAGGAGCGGCGCCTGCGGCGGGCACAACGACAAGACCGCCATCCGGCGGGCCCGTCACCCGTCACACGCGTCCCCGCCGCTGCGCCGGATCGTGTAAAGCGTGTCACACGTCACACCCCCATCCGGGTTGTGGGGTTCGCTACAGTACGTCACATCTGGACGGAGGACACGTCCACGATACATCATCGCCGTACTATGCGAGCTAAACAGATGTTAACCGCCGGAAGGGTGCACCCCCGGGTCGAAGGTCCTCGAGGCAGCACGGATTGACATCCTTGCAGCCCTGCATCCTGGCTTTTTCTCGTCGCATGGGTTCGTCACGTGAGTATGGAATCATCATCATTAGGCCGCTCTGCTAATTTGTTGTGCGGTCTCAACGTACAGAATGGCCCCGCGGCCGCAACGCGGGTCGAAATGTCGCTGGTGTCGGGGAACACGTTCTCATCCACTCGTGATCATGTGTAGCATTTTCTTTTTTCAAATTTTTGGAGAACTAGACGGACAGCGGTATGGATGTTGTATGCTCGAGACAGACACTCGATTGTTATAGAACAGGTTTCGGTCGATACTCAATGCATCAAATTGGATCCGGGCACTGCGTGTGTCAAATGGATGATCGTGTTTCCGAGTCATAGCCTACCCGCAAGCCAAGCACATGGTCGCTACGAGCAGCTGCATACAGGGCGTAGAGTCATGAACGGGTAAAGTATCGGTGACGTGCGGTACATCAAACAAGTAGTATGATACTGTACTGTATCTACAGAATTAGTAGGAGGAGGACCACACGAAGTGCCCGCAGACGACACGATGACGCGGATATGAATGCCACTGCGAGAAACGAGGATCGCACCTCCATCTATATGTGCCAACGGGCAGTTGACCAATCGAAAGACACTGACCGACATTAAATAGCGGTCGAACATACGACATAACACTCCGACGATCGTATCTACAGAGTGGGTATGATGGGGAACCACTTGTGGAAAACCTGATCAGGGTCGTACTTCTTCTTGACCTCCTGCAAACGCGCATAGTGCTTGCCAAACACCAGCCTCGCCTTCTCCACAGCGCCCTTCGACACCGCCTCGTCGTCATAATTTCCGTACCCAGCCTGCTGCTCCGCCGAGAGCTGCGGGTTCGCGCTCTTGACGAGCCCGATCAGGTCGTACACCATCTCGCGGCCGCGCTCCAGGTTCTCCCGCGTGTCCTCGACCCAGAGCGCGGCGACGAACACGGACGGGACGGGGTCGCGGCGGAATGGCGTCTCCTCGCTGTCTATGGCGTTGATCTTGTGGAGCGGGAAGTACTCGAATATGACGACCGGATGAGGACCCGCCCCGGCGGCGAGCTCGGCGACGCGGTCGAACGCCTTCAACACGCTCTCGTACTCGGGCTTGCGGTGCGCGACACCTTTGTTATACACGCCCTGGCCGTGGTACAATACGGAATTCTGGGGCCATGTCAGACAAGTTGAAGGTACCAAGCAAAGACGAGGGAATGAAGAACCCGCACCTGCAGCGCGTTGACCGCCTCGTATGGGATTTCCCGCACTTGATCGTCGATGGGTCCGATGTCAAAGAACTTCTTGTAAAACGCTCGGCCCTCCGCCTCGGAGCCGTTGTAGAAGAACAGGACAATCATGACAGGCTTGCCGTTGTGTCCGACAACCGCCGTCTGGATCTGCGAGGACTTGTCGCCCGGGTCGTCCCACCACTCCGCAGTGACCTCTGTCAGCGCCTTAAGCTGGCTGCGATCGTACGTTGCCATGCCACCGAAGACGGTCCTGCGTTGATCGTAGAGCTGGAAGACGAACTCGGAGACGACGCCGAAGTTGGATCCGCCACCACGGATACCCCAGAAGAGGTCGGGATTCTCTGTCTTGCTCGCTTTGACGATATTGCCATCAGCAAGAACGACGGTGGCCTGAGGACGTGTTAGAAAGGGTAACAGCGGCAGACCATTCGAGACTTCGAGTTACCTCCAAGACATTATCGAGGGCGAGACCGTAAGATGAGGAAAGGTAACCGTAACCACCGCCGAGGGTCAGGCCAGCAACACCGGTCTATGCATGGCCGCATCAACAAGGGAGTACAAGGGAAGTGCCGATACATACGTGATTCACTGTGCCACCCACCGTCGCGAGACCGTGCTCAGTTGCGGCCTTGTCGACACTCTCCCAGATCGCTCCGCCACCAACGCAGCCGATTTTCCTCTCGGGGTCGACGCGCGCGTAGTTGAGGTAGCGACTGAGGTCGATGACGAGACCTCCCTCAGTTGAGGATGCGCCTGCAGGGTTATGCCCGCCGCCCTTGATAGCGATTTCGAGGCCGTGTGAACGCGCGTACTGGATTGCGAGGGAGATATCCTGGACATCCTTGACAAAGGCGACGATCTTCGCCTCGCGCTTCGCGTTCAGCGCCCAACGCGCGATCGCCTTGCTGTAGTCTGGACTGTGTGGCGTGACAAGATCACCCTTGAACTCAGTGGGAAAGTCGGGGACTTGAACGGAAGACATGGTAGCTGTGAACCGTAGAGGCGAGGGTTGTTGGTCTGATATTAGTATTGCCAGTGTAGACCGGGTCTTTATCGGCGCTGGTAGAGGGCCACCATAGCATTGACTCGGAAGAAAACAATGTCAACCGTTCGGGCTGCAAGACGGACCACCGTATACGAGCACAGTAGGAGGACTGCCGCAACTGCGCGTGCACGTAAACATAGCAGTAACCGCGTCGAGCTCTAGAACAGGCTTGTGCAGCTTATCTTGGAAGTGTACCCTCCACCTCCCTCCAGAAGGTCTTCAGCTGTGAGAGACCGGCAGCTTCTGAAGTTCCAGCGTACGGGTCTAGGCTATGTTGCCCGTTCGGATCCCACACCCTCCCACACCGTCATCCTGAACCATACACGTACGTCAGCCTCCGGCGTATCCTCATCGCGTTGCATGTTTTTCCGCATGATTTGGAGCCGCTCGAGGTGCTGAAGCAGACTCGGACGTCGAGCGTGGCGCACCAAGCAAGGATAGCGAGAGGTGCCAAACAGTAATCGTAGGTGCACCGAGCGAACAGCGATATCAATCCCATCGAAAGGCCTTCATTCGGATTTAGGCCACGGGGTCGCCAGAGTTCAAAACGTTCAAGCTAGCTTCAAGGGTGCTGGTGAGAACTGATATGTGTCGACGTGCGAATGTAGCCAGCCTTTATAGCATACTTAGAACATGCAGTGAATATAGGAAGTGCAACGCTCGTTTGGGATAAGACCGAGCAGGGTGGCCGGCGGTTGCCGCAAATGATGTATCGACGTATCGGGCCCGGGATCTCGGCCTTCCCCCCTACTCGGTCAGTCGAGTACTTGCCAGGGTCCTACCTATTACCAGAAGCTAGATATACCTGCAGATATAGAATATCATCCTGAATGCACTGATGTACTCTATAGGCCGAGCCGCTGCGAAGTGGTTGAGTAATTCTCCGCGCCATTACGCGCCTGCATATGTACGCCACTTTCGCCGCATCGATATCGTCTGCCGTGTCAGTGGGGGTACTACTTAAGACGAAGGCCTTCTCCACCTGGAATGATTCAATTCATCTCGCGCATAGATAAGTTCCACCGAAAGGTCGGTAAAACCGGGGTGCCCTCAATCATTAATCATTCTCCAGTGATCGTAGATATCGAACCTTTGCAGGCTTGCTATTAGAGAGTCTGTCTGTTCCTGTCATCAGCACATCCGGGCCCTATGACGGATCACCGCTCCTGCGGATCGAGTCCATTTCACCCGCAATTGTACTACAGCATGTTCTAGTACTGTAAGTTATACTTGAGTTACACGCAAAAAGATGACGGACAGCCCAAATCTGCACGTTCGCAGCGGGCTCCTCGATGTGCAACCCTAACCTGGACATAGGGTTTCAGAATGAGGCACCAGGACCAGGTATCGACTATTCACGTCCGTTGTCTACTTGTAGGGCATTCAGCGAGACTGGCTGCAGGTTGATGGGGCCAAATATGACGATTCACAACAGGGATACCCAGCGAAAGTGAAATGCCAAGCGTAAGTAACAGATAGAATGCCCACAGCTCCACCGACAAGATAAACACTCGTACAAGTAATGATATCAACCTGCGGCACCGTAGTGCGTACTTAACTCCCCCAGAAAGATTTGAGGGGAAACTAAGTACTTGCGAAAGACATCGCCACTAGGCTGCGTATCGCGTGGACAAGTTACGGAGGGACCGGCGTCCCGACGACGAAAGGGCGTGTCCTTGCTATTGACTTGGCGGTGATTCTGTGGAGCGGAAAGTGCTAGTACCCAAACACGACCCCCGGTCTCGAACCCGGCCCGAGATAGAGCTGAGGGCTTGAACAACGCGGTCTCGTACGTGCAACCTTCCTCCTCAAATCCGTCGTAGAACAATAGGACGCCGACGCCGATGCAGGGTATACCACTCAGACCAACCGTGGTAGCCTGGCTTGGATCAGGGCAGACCTGCCGCCCGGGTTGTCCTAACACTCCGCAGTAACGAACACCAGTCAGTTGGCTGCGCAGCGCACTCGTGGATAGCGTGATCGGCGAAGCCGGTTCGGCGCTGGTCACAGGGTTGGGAGGCGACGTCCGCTGCACGGACGTTCCAGTGCTAGAAGAGGCCCGGCTTCTCCTTGCCGTTCGTTTTCTGTTCGTTTTCACGACAGTGCCCTGGGCGAGGACGGCGGCGGCCTAGGGACGCGTTGGAATGGGGAGAATGTCGACAGCAGGATGAGCGTCACCCCAGGGAGCAAGACCGCATACATACGGGGGTGACCGTGCGCGCGTGTGGCCGACCGTCGCGAGCCGATGTTCAATCGCCGTCGATCCTGTTGCCCAGATCGATGTAAGTGTAGCTCAAGTAACGGGATGGGTTAACCATAAGCCACCCATGAGACGTGCCTGCCACAGGGTTATGCCCACCGCCCTTGATCGCGAGCGAGATATGAGTATCGTCCTAGACGAACGCGACGATCTTCGCCTCACGCTGCGCGTTCTGTCAGCGTACAACGCGCGATCGCCTTGCTGTAAGTTAGTCGGGACTGTGTGGCGCGCCTGGCTGGGAAGTCCGGAGCGGGAGACATCGCGGTGATGCGTGGAGACGGCCTGAATGGGTGTTCAAACGTTCATCGACGAGGGCAGCTGGCGTCGACTGGAGAAGCACCCTTGCGTAGCGCGTACGTACCGGGGAGCTTACTGTAAGACGAGATTGCTCCGTGGGGCTGGCCGATGATCTCAAGGTCCATATAGAGCAAGAACACCAGGTTCACGACTTCTGATTCGGTGTGGCAGCGCTGACGGTAGACATACCAGCTATGTAATCCACCGAGCCCTACTGTACACAACCAGGCTCAGGATCTCGCCCGCTTCGTATGAGTATTTCAGGGCGCACCTTCCTATGATAGTGCCGCGCCACACTACTGACTCGGTGGCTTCTCAAGACGGCCTAGGAAGGACGAGACAGGCCCGACGTTGCCTATCAAGACAGATGGCGATCATCAAGGCCTGGATGTATTGGACGACGTGCTTCCGACTCGGAGAAAGCAGAAGAACTTGCATTCAGCGAGCAAGAGAACACGCAGGATACCACATCCAGCTATGTCTACGTGCTCACGCACCATACCTCCATGATACCTACCTAAGCTCGGACGGCACACGACGAACCCCAAACAGGCAGGACACCTTCCTTTACAGGCAACAATGTCATCCAGGAACCAGCCCCGGAGGGGCCCCGCCCTCGATCGGCGCCGCGCGAGCTATAATCGGACAGATTCGCCGCCGATGGGGCTTCTGAAGGCGGCACGTTTGCTTCGGGACTTCGAGAAGATTGCCCCCGAGGACTCGGGCCCGCCAACCTAGCTCGGCTGGCGGTAGGGACACAAGGCTCAGAGGAAGGCGTGCCGACGCTCCAGACGGGAAACCCACCCTTCGTCGGCGCGGCGCGAGCCGATATATGAGGGTACATGCGGGGAGGCGGCGGTGTTCTTACTACTTCCGGAAGTTGTGTGCGCGGCAGTGATGGTGCATCCACCGCAATGGGCGTCGGCGGCGGTGCGCAGTGTTTGCGCAGTGGGCGATCGTCGACGCTCGTGTACTGCGGAGGCTTCCATAGCTACGTCACATTTAATGTTCGGGCACTGGAGGAGTCTTGGGCTTTGACTGGAACGGTGTGACGGTGTGGCCATTTCGACAGACAGGCAGCGGAACGTGCGATGCAACACTGGTCGCCAACTGTCGCCCAGAGCACGTCAGTGCAGAAGCTTCCGCGTATGCGGATACGATGCCCGGCGCCCTCGGAGATCAACTCATGGGGCGGCGAGGCTGCGGCGAGGTGAACCAAGAGGTAAACATAGGCGTTGTGACGACGGCCGAACTGTGCGCCGTTGCAGGGAATATTACGACTCGTGCTGCGACGGCAGCGGAGGAGCCGCATGCGCTCGCCGCATGTGCGACGCGGTGAGACTCTGAGAGGGCGAGAAAACACTCACATTTGCCCCAGGCTTGCGCGATAGGCCGATCCCACGAATGAGCAGCGCCCGCTGGCGCGGTCCAATTGGTGCGTGGTAGTTTGCGAGCGCATTCGTGCAGGAGGCCTAGGCTGCGAGGTGTCTTCTTGGAATGTGCCAGCTGGTGAATGATCGTCTAGAGGGCCTGGAAGGCGACCACATTCAGTCACACGCACAATAGAGATTGGATGATACAGCGTCGGCGAGCAGGCGATGCCGAGTGCTGGTGATACTCCGGACAGCGGCTGATTGAAGACACACCCTAGTGTGGAGTCGCGCAGTGTGCATGGGGCTCGTCGAAGACACCCACGCCGCCGAGGAACATCCTGGGCCCTCATACAGTATGGGGCGTGTTGGAGGAAGGGCGGAGTGGCTGGCAGCGCGACGTTGGGCCGGGGGGCGCAGGGGCGCAGCGGCCGCGCAGAGCGGCACGGGCGGCGCGGAGAAGAGAAACGCCGGTGCGAGAGGCGTGTGAAGACGCGGGAGAGGCCGATGACGTCGGCGCCCAGACCGCGGCGGCGGAGGAGGGCCGCCACGTTGTGTGCCCGATCTTGGCAATCCACTCCACCGCGAGATGTTTCGGTCGTCTTCTGGGCCTCCTCGCCCGTCCTCCTCAGCACGTCCTCTCCTCCCACCACCGCCCGCGACAAGCACGCACCCCGCCCGCCCCTGTCCCCACCCACCACGCCGCCCAACACGTCCTTCCCCGCCCCCCGTGCCGTCCGCGGCCCCGACGGCAAGCCTGTCGCCGTCGACGACTTTGCCGCTGCCGTCGACGCCCGCCATGCGTCCCACCACGCCCACCTCCCCCTCCTAGGCCTCACCCCCCACGCAGGCCCTTCCGCCCCGTCTCCCTTCGTGCCCCGCGCACCGCGCCCAGCCCCGTCGCTCTCCCTCCCTCCCCCGCCGTCTCTCTAGCCATGCCTCCCCAACCACCGTCCGCGGCTTCCTCCTCCGCGTCCTCTGTCTCCCCACTCGCATCACCGGGGCCCGGTGCGCCCGCGTCTGCGTTCCCAGCACTCGGCCCCGCCGACCTGCCTGCCGTTCTCGCGGACCCCAACGCCCTCATCCTCGACATCCGCCCGCACAACGCGCACCTCGCAGGACGCCTGCACGGGGCGCTTTCTCTGTCCGTCCCGACCACCCTGCTCAAACGACCTACCTACACCCTCGCACGGCTGGCCCCTATGCTTCCCTCTCCTTCTGCTCGTGCTCGATTTGCCGCCTGGCGAGACTCCTCGCGTATTGTCGTGCACGACGCCGACGCTGGAGGCCTACCGGAGCGTCCTGCGCTTCTCGGGCTCCTCCGCAAATTCCGCGCTGAGGGCTTCGACGAGCGCCGCCAGGTCGCATGGATCAGAGGCGGGATCAACGCTGTGGGCCGCGAGCGGCCAGATCTCCTCGATCACTCGCCCCTCCCCGACGAAGGCGAGGAGGAGGAGGACGACGTCGCCGAGCTCGCCCCGCCATCCGTCGGTCACTCGCCCAACATCAGCTCTTCCGCAGCGGGATTCAGTGCTGACAAGCTCCCGGAGATAACAAAGAGCTCCAGTGCGCCAGCGACGTCCGCCCCGTTCCCCGCGCAGAACATCAAGGCACTCCGCACCAAGGCGCTGCCCATGAGCGCATTCACCAGCGCCTCCACAATCGGAGCACCGCCGAGCTTCCGCGCCCCGCCGGCCACGGTGTCCACTGAGGGGGTAAGTATGCTGATGCTCAGCGACGAGCTGGACAAGTTAACGGCTGACCTCGTCCACACCACCATGTCGCAGACCATAGTCCCGCCTACCTCCGCTACAGGCGCGTCCATCCTCGGCTCGATCGCCACGCGCGGAGAGGCCGTCCCACCGACCACGGTCCCGTCGCTGCTCGCCGCACGCGCCACGAAGTTGCACAACCCGATGAACACCCAGGCAGCACCGTCGTCCGCGTTCAACCTCCGCTTGCCGGCGTTCGCGAGTGCCCCAGGGATGACACTCCCGCCGCAGACTGCAGCCGCCACGCAGAGCTCACATGCCTTCCCTCCGGTCGCGGGCACAAGCAGCATGCCCACGCTCAGCGGCAGTCCAGAGGCCTTCTCGGCGTCGGTAGCTGGGATGAGGCCCCATCGACATTCCGTACCGCACGGCAGAACGGTGAGTGTTCAGATTCTCGTGAGGGCTCGTGTTGCGGAACATACCGTTTGCTTGATATGGACGGGGACGGGTACGAGAAGCCTGTCGATGGGTGCGTTTAGAGTGCTCTGCTTCTACTGGCTGGTATGGCCGGACGGCTACACCGTCGAGCGAAGGGCCATGACGAGTGAGAAGGGCAAGGGATGCAGGGCTTGTTCCGAGGAACGACGTCAGACTTTAAAGGCGTTGGAGGAACGAAGCCAAGGCATGCTCGCCGCTGGTAACGTAAACCCAGCCTTCTCCGCACCGGTGCCCCGGGGTACGAGGCAGCATTAGCATTTTCACCGCGCGCAGCCGGTAACTTACTGCCAGCGGGGGCTAAGCCCGTTCTTCACGGGCTCGCTGGTGAAAGAGAGCCAGGGCATCTCGGAGGCAATCTTGTTCTGATTCGCCTGCGCCGTTGCGCCGGGTCGTCGGCGTCATTGCAGAGTGTCACTTCACATCGCAGGCAGGGGTCACGTCGCAGCTGCTGACACGACCTTCCTCACCTGTTTAGGTTGCGTTCAACCCGTTCTTTGACGCGATCCGGCAGAACCTCGAGCTTGCGCACCGGACGGAGCCGTCCGGCGAGGGCGGGCGCGGATCGGGCATCGCGCTGCGTCTGCCCCGCCGGGTGCGGAGACGTGTCGGCGACCTGCCGTTCGAGTGGCTCCGGGAGATCGCGCGGCGCAGCGGGCGCACGAAGGAGAGCGGCAGCGAGAGCGAGAGCGATGCGGACGAGGAGCCGCAGAAGGTTAGCGTCAAGATTACCGTGCCCGTCGCGCCGATACCAAAGCGGCAACATACGTTGCGCCGTTTGTCGTCTTCTAAGGCGTCCTCTGGTGAGATGCGCTCGACGACACCTCCACTGTCTCCGCCGTCCTCCCCTGTACGCTCGCCGCAGCGACATCATACCCGACCGCACTCCCAGACCTTCCCTGCCCCCAGAGAGACGCGGCCAGGCCCGCCGACGCTGCCCATCAAGATTAAGCCCAAGCCCCAGCCCCTCGAAGACGGCGGCGTCGACTCCGCGGACGATTCCGCGGACGCGACGTCCGCGTCGAGCCAGAGCTCGCCGAGCGCGGAGGAGCTGACGCGCGCGCTGGAGCTGCAGTTCTACAGGATCGAGCTGGGGGAGCAGCGGCGCCTGATGGGCGTGATGGAGCACCATAGCATGGAGAGTCAGGCGGGCGCGGTCAGCGTGAGCGCGGCGGGCGTCGTCCCGGTCGGCGCGGCTGCTGCTGTTGCATCTAGGGCGAAGGGTGGGGAGAAAATGAAGCTGGGAGAGGAGGACTTCCCGTTCAGCATTACTGCGGGATTGGAGAAGGGGAACAAGAACAGGTGAGTTGTGTGCGTCGGATTCGGATGGTTTGTGCGGGCTCTTGAGGCGGAAGGTGGGCCGCGACGGAGAGTGCGCCGAGCTCTGGGTTTGGGCCCGGCTCTTTCGGGGGCGGTGTACCGATAGCCACTCGGCTCGCCGAGACTCAGGTTTTGGGTCTGCGCCGTGCTAGCGGGTAGACTGGCGGGCGATGGGTTCGCGCCGCCGCGTTGCGGGGCGTGCCTCGAGAGTGTGGTTGTGCGAGTTAGTGTGGCGTCTACGGGCATGGGTGCTTACCTAAGTCCCCGACAGGTACCGAAATATCTGGCCGTTTGAGCACGCGCGCGTGCGGCTGCGCAAGGCGCGCCCGGACGACGACGACTATATGAACGCGAGCTATGTGCAGCCGCTCGGCACCACGAAGCGCTATATCGCGACGCAGGGCCCGTTGGCCGCGACGTATGCGGACTTCTGGACGTGAGTGTTCTGTTTTTGTGTCTGTTAGGTCGGGGTGCTTAAGATTCGTTTCTGCAGGCTTTGCTGGGAGCAGAACGTCCATGTGATCGTCATGCTCACTCGCGAGGTCGAGGGCAACACCGTCAAGTGTGGCAAGTACTGGGCCGAAGGCGAGTACGGCCCGCTCCGCCTCAAGCTGATCGCCACCGACGACACTCCCGAGCGCGAACGCCGTCGCCGCGAGAAGGAGATGAATGGCGGGTTCTTCTCGGCCCACGTCCCGCCCGTGCAGAAGACCCAGCGCAAGCCGAGGCGAGAGAAGCACGGCAGCGACTCGGACGGCGAGCGCGACATCGTGCACAGGGTGTTCAAGCTCACGCACACGGGCTACCCGCAGGCGAAGCCGCGTGTCGTCACACAGCTGCAGTACCTCGACTGGCCGGACTTCAACGTCCCGGAGGACCCCCGCGGGCTCCTGGGGCTCGTCCGCGAAGTAGAGGAGGCCGTCGCTCGCTCGCATCAAAGTGGCGATAAGCCTTGGGGCGAGGGCCCGATGCATCCAGGACCATGGCCTTCGCACGTATCGGTTCCGTTGTCTTCGCCTCCGAGGGAACACGCACAACCGGCTGTGCCCAGCACGATCGTGGAGGATGTGCCCATGGACGACAACTACGTCGATCCCACGACGGGAGTCGCGCGCCATGCGATCGGCAACCCGCCGGTGTTGCTGCACTGCTCTGCGGGTGTCGGGCGCACGGGCGGGTACATCGCGGTGGACTCGGTCCTTGATGGGATCCGGAGAGAGATGCGCAAGCGGCGGGAGGACGTGCAGGTGCCCGTGCCCGCGTCGCCTGATCAGATGGACGTCGATCCGAGCCCGAGCCCGCCGTCGTCCGGGGAGCGCGCGCGCAGTCCGTCGCGTGCGCCGTCGAGGTCGCCTACGGTGCCGGAGCTCACGGTGCCTGTGACTGTTGGAGCGGAGGAGGTGCACGTCCGCGTCGCTGGCTTCACTGAGGCTATGGATGTGGACGGCGAGCGGAAGCAGGAAGGGCCAGCTGGAAAGGGGAGGAGTGCTCCGCGCAAGGAGGTCCTTCGTACGGTGGTCCCCGCGTCGCCGGAGCTCGTGGACGAGGTGCGGCGCGCTGCGATGCACAGGTGGCCGTCGAGCTCGACGAGCACGAGTGGGGACGCGCCGCCGATAGCCGGTAAGGACTGGGAATCCAGCAGCTCGGATTCCTCGCCGATCCCCTCGAGACCCACGACGCGCTCAACGGACCTGTCAGGAGAATCGACGGCGCGGTCGACGTCGTACCTGTCGGCGCAGTCGACGAGCCCGCCGTCGAGCCACACGGGGAGCTCCGGCAGCTTGTCGGCGGCCGTGGCGAAGCAGACGGCACATATGACGTTGTCGAAGAAGGAGAAGACGAGCGTTTCGCCGAGCCCGAGCTCTGGGGAAGTCGAAGTCGATGGGAAGCTGCGGTCCCCGGATCATGCACGTCATTCCCATTCCCAGCGCCAGTCGGACGTGGAGGCGCACGTCAGTCGTCTTGACACTTGGAGGTCGGCGGTGCGCCCTGCGGACTCGCCTCCCCACGCCGAATCTCGCTCGTCGAAGAGTCCGGACACGACTGCGCCTGCGGGAGGACTGGCGGACGAGGAGAGCACTGTCCAAGGCGAGGGCTCGCAGTACCAGCGCGGGCGTGTCTTCGACTATACCCAGCCGCGTCGCCTGCACACCGACATGTCGCCACCGCTGCTCTCAACGTACGACGAGCCTATCCGCCGGGTGATCGAGGATATGAGGGAGCAGCGGATGAGCCTGTGCCAGAGTTTGCGGCAATACGTGTTCGTGTATCGCGCTGTGATCGAGGGGACGCTGATGATCGTGGACGAGGAGAGGAAGGCGGAGGAGCTGTCGCCGGAGGGTACTCGAACCGCCAAGGGTGCGCTGCTCCCAGACCGTCAAGACATCTTCATGGACGGGCCAATGCACTCACTGGAGACCGTGTCTTCCGTGAGCTCGGGTGCGTCGCTGCGAGAGCGGGGCGTGTCGCGCAAACGCAGCATCTCCGACTACATGCGGGAGGACGCCGCGATCGATGGGCATCTGTCGATGTCGCCGGGCGGGACGAAGCGGGGCGCGAGCCCGACGGAGCTGCCCAAGGAGGGCGTGCAGGGCGAGGCGATGTTGACGAAACGACCGAGCATCAAGCGTACGTCGCGCATGGACACCGTCTGAGCCTGAGGAGGCTTTTTGCCTCATGTCGACTCGCCCCCCGGGGGCTTTACCCTCGCGTGCTTCCCTCTCGGACCTTCACCCTCGCACCTTGTTTCGCTCATGGCTGTCGCTGGATCCCGCATTCAATCAGGCCACCTGCCCCCTCCCTTACGTCCCCCCACCGTTGACCGGCGCCCTGGACGTCACGCTGTGGATTGCTGTCATGCGCGCGTACTGTTTCTCTCTGAGCCTATCATTCCATTCCGTCATCGAGCCTGTTTCCTGGGACCTGTCTGCCTCTCTCTGTGCTCGTACCGAATGGATAATGCGCACCGTTTCTCGTTGCTGTCGCTGGTCCTGATTCATGTTCTGGCAGCTGTATACATATGATACACAACCCACTCATCTACGCACACCCGCTGTTCTGCTTACTTACCCACCGCGCACATACATATGTACTACTGTATCCTGTAGACCGTCGTGTAGTCTTATAGTACTCCCATTCAATTGCATCGTGACACTTTTTCGGATGTGGGCGTGTGGAGCGTGCTGCAAGTCGATTGTGTTGTACTGAACGTCAGTGACTTGCTATTTGAGGTTCTGTTAGGGCCAGCCAGGATGCCGTTTGAATTTGCGCTCACTGCAGAGCCAGCTTGGAGCCAGCACTATAAGTATGTAGTATCTTGAATGCCTGTAAAGGGCGCAGGCTGATCTCATGATCAGCTCTGCACGTCGACGGTAGCCACGCTGGAGAGCTTTCCGGTCGCCAGTTGTCGTTGTCCAGCTCAATGCGGTGCCTACCGCCGGCAAGTAACCGGCGTATCCCCAGCATGCATGCCGCGGCGGTCACATACAGTCTCGGTTCGCAACCCTACGCAGCCTCGATCCCACGTCTATGTGGTCCGCCTTACTTATCGATAGGCACCCATTGAACAAGCTCAAGGTTCGGACAGCCTGCCTCGCGCCGCGCGCTCACTAGAACGAAGTGCGGCACTGTATTCAAGGAGAGCGGTCCTCCGTATGTATTTCTCGTGCATCGCCGCTGGATGAAATCAGTGACATGAGTACTGCTTTGCAGAGTCTCCAGGCCGTAGAGGGCTATCCTCGCAATGACTGCGGACAGTCTGGATCTCACCGCGCCTACTCACTCGAAGCAAAGAACCACTTGCGACGTCGTGTGTCTGTGTTCGACGCTTCTATACCCGCCGGCGAGCGCGCGCTACGTTGCATCGATGCATATATACCAGTTATCATCGCCTTCGCTGTCCCCGTGCCCTCCCCCTCGTCCAGCTTCAAGCCTGAGTTCTTGCAACGCAGACCAAGAGCCATTTGAACTCCTCACAAAGTATGACTCCGCCTTCGCCAACGGATATCTTTACTGACACCGTGCTTTCCTTTTAGCGTCGCGACCACCAACGAGCGCCAGCACCGCGCGAACCTACGACCAAGACGGCGCATCTGGCTTGTCTGCCAGGGAGCCAGTGTACATACCGGATATCAGGTAGTGTGTTATCGCACTATGCTTGTTCTGGGAGAGCCGCAGTCTGAGATGATGAGGCTATTAGTAACGTGTTTCCACCGTCGACGGTCTGCTGTCGCCACGGGCAGGAGATTCTCAACTGTGCGACAGCGCGGTCACGTCGCCGTAGCGCACATCCCACGTTGACGGAATGGACAGAGCCGAGTCAATGTAAGTGTCATTGTCCAGACACGGGTACCTTAGTTCACACATGTGAATTACAGTACAGCCGCAACGTCCGAGAACTCCTCTCGTGGTCCTTCGATCCCGCGGCTTCCAGTGGAGGTCTGTGAACGGATCATCGACTCCATCGCTGCGGGATGGGATACGCGTTATGCTGATGCAAAGGGCGAGCCACATCTGACCACTCTCACATCCTGCGCGCTCGTATGCCAAGACTGGTACTTCCTGACGTGGTACCATCTTCGTCAACGCATCCATCTACGAGACCGGAAGGACGTCCTCTCGCTCTCCAAGACACTCCGCGCAAAGCCTCGCCTCCGTGAGGTCATTCAACAGGTCTTCATATCGGGTGGTTCTCCCGGGGAGCGTCAACCGATCCGGCACCTGGGGACGTTTGCCGCTATGCTCGCGGGCAAGGCTCCGAGGTTGTCGAGTATCACCATTGAAGATGCTGAGTGGACCATCGGCATGGTGCGAATGGAGGACATCGGCTTTCTAGCGCTGTTCAGCTCCATCAGCACTCTAGACCTCTCCAATGTCACCTTGTCGAGCGCCGCCCAGCTTCGCCACCTCGTGTCAGCACTCCCGTGGCTTAGTGAATTATGGTGCTTCAATGTTGACTGCTCGCAGAAACAGCACGTCTCCCCGGCCTCTCTCCCACTAAACTGTGCAAATCTGGACAATCTCAATGTGCGATGGGTTGCACCAGCAGTCGAAGACCTCTTCGTGCAGATCAGCCGGGCTTCTCGAGTGCGCGATCTCGGTATTGGGGTGGACGGCGAGTTGGATCCATCCTCGGCAGCTAGCAGAAGCCAGACTTTGCTGGATGCGAGTTCCACATCTGCAGAAACGGTTCGACTCTATATCGATCCCAGTTCTCCTGTTCGTGACGATGCAATTGATGCCACAGTCGGCAGGTTTTCCTAGTTATCTCTCGAGCCACTTCGCTGATTGTTTCAGGCCTACAGAGCGACATTGCAACCTGTCACGCCACGACCACCTGCGGAGGTTGGAGATCTGGCTGGAGCACCCCTTTGCAGAGTGGCCCTGGATCCCGCATATCCTGTCTCGCATCGTCTCGAAGCACTTCCAAGTTATTTTTATTGTGTCATATCTTCGAATGGACCACATGGCGGAAGACCTGGACGGACTGCTGGCGGCAATGGAGCAGGATGGTCTCCTGATGCGATTGGACAGTATAATGCAGGCGAAGCGCTTCTCCGATACTGTTGCGTCGCGTGGCTTCTGTATAGGCATTGTCGAGGATGGAGGCTATTGGACGTCGCGCAATACTGGGATGGGTTCAGCACTACGAGAGCGGCACGATCGGTTGGACGAGCTCGTCAGGCGGAAGATGCCACACTCGCATGCACGAGGTATTTTGAGGTACGTAGTAATATGGAGTTGGTCAGATCGCGAAGGAAAGCTGAGTGTCCCTTGAAGCACTGTGCATAACTTCCAAGAATTCGTCAGCTGGAGGGAGGACATGCAAAAGATACATCGTCGCCGTAAGCGAGCTGAACAGAAGAAACTCGCCGGAGAAGATGCGCACCCCCCAGGCGGAGGGTCCTCGAGGCAGCACGGATTGACATCCTTGTAACCCTGCATCCTGACTCGCATCGTGGTATGGAGTTCGTGAGTATGGAACCATCATCCTCAGGCCGCTCTGCTAATTTGTTGTGGGGTCTCAACGTATAGAATGGCCCCACGGATCAATATGTTGTTGTCGGAGAAAGGGTTCGCGCTCACTTATGCTTGTATCATACACGGTCATCTCTTGGAATTGTGTTGGACAGATGATGGTATGGGACCGTACTTTATTGCTTAAGCCTGAGCGCGTGAGCCACAGAGACGAAACACAGGGAGCGCAAATGAGTTCACCAAAGTCTTCCACCTCCAGCTGACGTCGACGAACGCTGAGGGTCGAGCGAGAATGTCGTCATGACCTCCTGGTGCCTCGACGCAAAACATGCAGGCATTGTGGCAACACAGCGAAGCGTAGGTACTAACGGAGTGTCGTCGTGACAGACTCGCTACTTGCATGCAAACCTACGATATCGTGCCTCATGAGCCTGAAACGGTGAAGCTTACGGTTCGAATACTGTCTAGTATATCACCGGGTAGAAATATATGGACACAGATGTGGTGAAGCAGGCCGATATTAGCTCGTGCGCGCAGGCATCATCCGAGGTGCGTTATTTATCCGTACTTTCTCCTGCGATCGCGCTCATCTGGCCCGGTATGCGTAGCGCGAAGTTCGTGTTCAAGAACCAGAACATCAAGGACCCTTGCGGGTGCGGAGAGTCGTTCAGCGTCGGCTCGTGCGCGGCGCGAGGTGTACGCTGACCACGTTCTTTATATCCCCCGGGTGCGTCCTCGTACCAGTCCATCTCCCTTCCGATGATGGAGAAGAGCGCCTTGCTGTCGATGAGGATGCGGACGTTCACGCCGTCCTGCTCGACCACCTCGTCGAACTTGCCGGGCTTGTCGAGGTACTCGAGGTGGTACGAGAGCCCTGCGCAGCCCTCGTTCCGCACGCATATCTGTATGAGCTGGGGTGTGGGCCCTTGAGCAGTGCGCAGAGCCGCTGCACAGCGCCGGGTGTCTCAGACGCACCGCACATCGTTGGTCTCGTACAGGTCGTGACTAGAGGGGTCCGGGGCTACGCACGACAGCTTCGGCCGGTGTGATAGTGGGCTTGCGCCGCTCGGCCTTCGGAGCGGGCGGCGGGCGCGTTGCTACTTGCGGCGACGCCGCGTTTGTCGACGACTCTTTCGCCTTCGCCTTCTAGAAGGGAATGATCATAGGGGGTGTCTGTCCCAGCAGCCTGGACGGATGTTGCGGTCGGAGGATGTTGTAGTCGGCGGGTCGTCGCGAGAAGGTGGACATCATGGCATGGCGGCGGTGGGAAGGAACGTACGTCATGACACGGCTGGACGGGGACACGGCGAAGGAGGACGCGAGGGAGAGTGCTTGTGTGCGGTGGAGGCGAGCAACTGCGGACGTCATGGCTGCAGCGTTAGGGTGAGAGGTCGTCGAGGGAGAGGACGACGAGCATGGGGACGGGGAACAGAAGAGCGGTGTCGGAGGATAGCGGTTGTGCGGCACGTACTGCGAACGAGGCGATCGAGGTTGCCGGAAGTACGGGAATCGACCCCTTTGTCCGCCCTCCATCATATGCGGCTCACACCGCTCGCGCTATCCCGTCGTCGAGCAGGATCACCCCGTATGTGCCCACTATCGCGCCGTCGACGGATGTGCACAACGCACGCGCACCTCATCACACCGTAACCATTCGTGCACTTGATCGGGCCATCTCCCAACGTTGCGCTCGAGGTTTGCTGAGGGCAGACGCCGCCGGAGGTTGATGCAGATGTCCTGGTTGATATGCACACGCGTGTCCCTGCTGTCGTGGAGAATGTGTGCGTGGCGACGACAAAAACACAAAAACGCGCGCGCTCGTCCTGATGCAGGGAGGTTGAGCAGTCGAGATGGACGTAGGGCCCGGGCTTGGTGAAGGACAACGGTGGTGGTCTGTAACGAGTAGTTAGTCCGCCGAAACCAGAGGAACACTAACTGATATCGGTACGCGACTCGACCCGACTCGTTCTGCTCGACTTGCTACTCGACTAGTGTTGCACACGCGACCGTCTCGTCGCACCAATGGGCCCGAGTCGGGACTGCGAGATGAGAGAACTGGGGAGAGTCGATAGGGATCATGGCGACGCGGCCTGACGCGGCCCCGTATCAATACACACGAAGAGACATGAGCCATGTCAGCGAGAGTGAGAGACTAGCAGAAGAGACGTCGGCAAGTGGGAGGCGGTTCGAAGGAAGCGCGACGCGTGAGTGGTTGACGGATCGGGAAGGAATGATACCCAATGAGGAAAGTATTGCATAACGGCCACATGGGCAGCCTTCTGGGTGACGGACGTTGGTTGATTCCCCCTCCAGCGTTGACGTTGAACGCTTCACGAACCAGCGTTGGTGTTCATAGAGTAGTGATCGCATGATTCTGTACACACATGACATCCCGCCTCGGCGATTCAAGGGGCGCCACTAACCCCAGTCTGGGGGTCCCCCGACGCCGCGCGCGCGTCAAGCGCGTATTGTCACACCGAGTATGTGCACGACAGCGCATCGGCGGACAGCAATAATGGACCCGACGTACGTGTTCACGAACATCAATTGGCCGTCACCGCTGCAAGCCACCATGTACCGTTGGTCAGCAAGATTCCAGCGCCGAGAGAATCCTCGTGCCACTCTCGCAGACTCTCACCAACACATCGACACGCCGACTCGAGCAGCAGACGTGAGTTGCTCCGTGTAGACACGCCAAACACTGGTATACAGGTGTTGCTCAACTTTGCCACAGCTTGGCTGCTTCCGCAGCGGGCAGGCGGGGCTTGAGCACGGCGTGAAACCTCGAGAACTCCGCATACAGCTTGTCCCTGTCACTCGTACTCTCACCCGTGCATTCAACGACTTCTATCCTCAGTCAGCTCTCAACGTCCCGCCCACAGCTATCCACGAGCAGCTAGGAAACTCCAGACCGACACGTCACAGATGAATGCGAACAACTCGTGCCACAAACGCGGACTCACCACTCCCCGGACAGGTACCTAGCCTGCGCCAAGCTCACAAGGGCCCCTTCAAGCCTCCACGCGGTCCTTGCCAATCCAGGGACACTCGCCGTCTACGATTGAGCCACCGCCGCTTAGCCAGGGCGCTGGGTAGCGAACCTGCCCCGACAACCAGCCTGACTCGCGGATCCCATCACAAGGAGTCACCGTGCGCCTGGGTAGAGGTGTGTGCCAGACATGCGGCTTTCAACTCGAACCTGGCTGACCCAATCATGCGCAGGCCCTCGATGTCGAACGATCTCCATACGCACTCAACACCAATACGCGCGATGGAACGCGCTGGGCTCCCGGCGCACGGAGCAACTCTTCTGCGGTCACCGCTGCCGAACTACCCATCGCCCATGTGCGGGGGCGCGCGGTGCACGGTCACCAACCTCGCTCGAAAGATCAAGCCGTGCGCATCAATGCGAACACTCTCGGAAAGCTCACGCACGCTCATCTTCGAGGGCGGCGTCTTCAACTATGGGCAAACTCGCATGCCGCGCATCTCCCCAACTGCACGTCGCCCTCGCTCGCGCCCAGCGCCCTCCCCTACTTCTCCACGCCGCAACCGCAGTGAGACTACGCGGTGCCCTCTGTCGATGTTCGCGTTGGCTTCGGGCCGGGTGGTCGCATCCAGAGGGCACCGACCTCCCTGCCTCGCAGACCTCCCCTCTCCGAGTCGCCCGTCGCGGTGGTCCTCTTGGGCGGAAGAAGATCGAGCGCATCGGAGAAGTTGGCGGCCCTTCCGGACGGCAGCGCGAGCGGCGCGGACACCGTTCCCAAGCAGGCGCGCGACGATGCTTCAACTCTGATCGGCATTATGTGCGCCGCCGCCCTGCTGTCGCACAGAGTAACGTTCAAGTTCCCTTCGAGCGTCCCCGCTACCCGCGCCACGATCCAGCGCTGCTTCCCCGAATATTCTGCCTGGTCAAGCACTGACCCACGGTCCCTCTTCTCACCCCCCAAGCCATCGCAGATCGCAAGGACCGCTCATGGCAAATCCGGCGTCTCGTGCGCCTCTTAGGTCTGCCCGACTCCCACCTCGTGTCCACCGCGACCCTGCGCGCGTGACATTGAGCTCGATCGGGCTGCCGCGCACGGACTGAGCACGCCTGTGAATGCGCGCAACTGGGACCGGCGACGCTGGGCGTGATTTGCCCGCCGCGAGTGTGACCGCGGACCGCGCGCAAGCAGCGAACGGTGAGAACGGTGCACGCCGTCCAAGGCAATGCCATGTACCTGGGCCTTTCTCCTCCACCCGGCTCACCGCTTACCTTCCCGTCTCGCCTATTCAACTCATCCCTCACGCTCTATAATCATTGGAGCTACCCGACGCAGCATGCAGAGTGTCTCCTCGCATCGCTGGACATGGCCACATCGCAGCTGCTGACACGGTCCTCCTCATCCGTTTAGGTTGCGTTCAACCCGTTCTTTGACGTGATTCTGCAGAACCCCGAGCTTGCGCACCGGACGGAGCCGTCCGGCGAGGGAGGGCGCGGATCGGGCACCGCGCTGCGTCTGCCCGTCGAGTCCGAAGACGTGTCGGCAACCTGCCGTTGGAGTGGCTCCGAGAGATCGCGCGGCGCAACGGGCGCACGAAGGAGAGCAGTAGCGAGACCGAGACCGACGCGCACGAGGAGCGTCAGAAGGTTAACGTCAAGGCTATCGTGCCCGTCGCGCCGCCTGTCGTCTTGTATGGCGTCCCGAGGTGAGATGCGCTCGACGACACCTCTCCTGTCTCCGCCTTCCTCCCTCGTACGCTCGCCTCCGCGTCATCAGCAGCGGCATCACACCCGGCCGCGCGCTCAAACATTCCCTGCCGCCAGAGAGACGAGGCCAGGCCCGCCAGCTCTGCCCATCAAGTTCGCGCCCAAGCCCAAGCCCCCGAAGATGGCGCCGCCGACTCCGCCGACGGCGAGGCGACGTCCGCGTCCAACCAGAGCTCGCCGAGTGCGGAAGAGCTGGCGCGCGCGCTGGAGCTGCAGTTCTACAGGACCGAGCTGAGGGAGCAGAGGCGCCTGATGGGCGTGATGGAGCATCATAGCATGTAGAGCCAGGCGGGTGTTGGAGTGGGCGGAGGCGCGGTCAGCGTGAGTGCGGCAGGCGTCATCCCGGTGGCGACGGCTGCTGCTTGTAGGACGAAGGTTGGGGAGAAGGGCAAGCTGGGGAGGAGGCCTTTCCGTTTCGCATTACCGCGGAATTGGAGAAGGGGAACAAGAACAGGTGAGCGCGTTTGCTTTCGGATGCCGGAGGGGATTGCGCACGTTCTTGAGGCGGCGGCGGAATGCCAGTCTTTCTGGGTGTCTTCAGTGCGCCGGGCTGCTGGTGTGGACCCAACTCTTTCGGGCGCGGTGCGCCGATTGGTGCTGCCTCGCGATGTTTGGGGGCTAGTGCGACACTACTGGTTGGGTGCTTACATCAATCGTCGATGGGTACCGAAACATCTGGCCGTTCGAGCACGCGCGCGTGCGGCTGCGCAAGGCGCGCCCGGACGACGACGACTATATGAACGCGAGCTATGTGCAGCCGCTCGGCACAACGAAACGCTATATCGCGACGCAGGGCCCGTTGGTCGCGACGTATGCGGACTTCTGGACGTGAGTGTTCGGTGTTCTTGTGTCTGTTAGGCCGACGTGCTTAGCAATTGTTTCTTCAGGCTTTGCTGGGAGCAGAACGTCCATGTGATTGTTATGCTCACTCGTGAGGTCGAGGGCAACACTGTCAAGTGTGGCAAGTACTGCGCGGAAGGCAAGTATGGCCCGCTCCGCCTCAAGCTGATCGCCACCGATGATACTTACGAGCGTGAACGCCGTCGCCGCGAGGAGATGAATGACGGGTTCTTCTCGGCCCACGTTCCGCCCGCGCAGAAGCCCACGCGCAAGCCGAAGCGGAGAGAGAACCACGGCAGCGACTCGGACGGCGAACGCGACATCGTGCACAGGGTGTTCAAGCTCACGCACACGGGCTACCCGCAGGCGAAGCCGCGTGTCGTCACCCAGCTGCAGTACATCGACTGGCCGGACTTCAACGTCCCTGAGGACCCCCGCGGCCTCCTGGGTCTCATTCGCGAAGTGCAGGAGGCCGTCGCTCGCTCGCATCAAAGTGGCGATAAGCCTTGGGGCGAGGGCCCGATGCATCCAGGACCATGGCCTTCGCACGTATCGGTTCCGTTGTCTTCGCCTCCGAGGGAACACGCACAACCGGCTGTGCCCAGCACGATCGTGGAGGATGTGCCCATGGACGACAACTACGTCGATCCCACGACGGGAGTCGCGCGCCATGCGATCGGCAACCCGCCGGTGCTACTGCACTGTTCTGCGGGTGTCGGGCGCACGGGCGGGTACATCGCGGTGGACTCGGTCCTTGATGGTATCCGGAGAGAGATGCGCAAGCGGCGGGAGGACGTGCAGGTGCCCGTGCCTGCGTCGCCTGATCGGATGGACGTCGATCCGAGCCCGAGCCCGCCGTCGTCCGGGGAGCGCGCGCGGAGTCCGTCGCGTGCGCCGTCGAGGTCGCCCACGGTGCCGGAGCTTACGGTGCTTGTGACTGTTGGAGCGGAGGAGGCGCACGTCCGTGTCGCTGGTTTCACGGAAGCTATGGACGTGGACGGCGAGCGGAAGCAGGATGGGCCAGCTGGAAAGGGGTGGAGTGCTCCGCGCAAGGAGGTCCCTCGCACGGTGGTCCCCGCGTCGCCGGAGCTCGTGGACGAGGTGCGGCGCGCTGCGATGCACAGGTGGCCGTCGAGCTCGACGAGCACGAGTGGGGACGCGCCGCCGATAGCCGGTAAGGACTGGGAATCCAGCAGCTCGGATTCTTCGCCGATCCCCTCGAGACCCACGACGCGCTCAACGGACCTGTCAGGAGAATCGACGGCGCGGTCGACGTCGTACCTGTCGGCGCAGTCGACGAGCCCGCCGTCGAGCCATACGGGAAGCTCCGGCAGCTTGTCGGCGGCCGTGGCGAAGCAGACGGCACATATGACGTTGTCGAAGAAGGAGAAGACGAGCGTTTCGCCGAGCCCGAGCTCTGGGGAAGTCGAAGTCGATGGGAAGCTGCGGTCCCCGGATCATGCACGTCATTCCCATTCCCAGCGCCAGTCGGACGTGGAGGCGCACGTCAGTCGTCTTGACACTTGGAGGTCGGCGGTGCGCCCTGCGGACTCGCCTCCCCACGCCGAATCTCGCTCGTCGAAGAGTCCGGACACGACTGCGCCTGCGGGAGGACTGGCGGACGAGGAGAGCACTGTCCAAGGCGAGGGCTCGCAGTACCAGCGCGGGCGTGTCTTCGACTATACCCAGCCGCGTCGCCTGCACACCGACATGTCACCGCCGCTGCTCTCGACATACGACGAGCCTATCCGCCGGGTGATCGAGGATATGAGGGAGCAGCGGATGAGCCTAGGCCAGAGTTTGCGGCAATACGTGTTCGTGTATCGCGCTGTGATCGAGGGGACGCTGATGATCGTGGACGAGGAGAGGAAGGCGGAGCAGTTGGGTCGTCTGTCGCCGGAGGGTGCTCGAAACGTCAGGGCTGCGCTGCTCCCAGACCGTCAAGACGTCTTCATGGACGGGCCAATGCACTCACCGGAGACCGTGTCTTCCGTAAGCTCGGGTGCGTCGCTGCGAGAGCGGGGCGTGTCGCGGAAACGCAGCATCTCCGACTACATGCGGGAGGACGCTGCGATCGATGGGCATCTGTCGATGTCGCCGGGCGGGACGAAGCGGGGCGCGAGCCCGACGGAGCTGCCGAAGGAGGGCGTGCAGGGCGAGGCGATGTTGACGAAACGACCGAGCATCAAGCGTACGTCGCGCATGGACACCGTCTGAGCCTGAGCCTGAGGAGGCTTTTGCCTCATGTCGACTCGCCCCCCGGGGGCTTTATCTCGCGTGCTTCCCTCTCGGACCTTCACCCTCGCACCTTGTTTCGCTCATGCCTGTCGCTGGATCCCGCATTCAATCAGGCCACCTGCCTCCTCCCTTACGTCCCCCCACCGTTGACCGGCGCCCTGAACGTCACGCTGTGGATTGCTGTCATGCGTGCGTACTGTTTCTCTCTGAGCCTATCATTCGATTCCGTCATCGAGCCTGTTTCCTGGGACCTGTCTGCCTCTCTCTGTGCTCGTTCCGAATGGATAATGCGCACCGTTTCTCGTTGCTGTCGCTGGTCCTGATATGATACACAACCCACTCATCTACGCACACCCGCTGTTCTGCTTACTTACCCACCGCGCACATACATATGTACTACTGTATCTTGTAGACCGTCGTGTAGTCTTATAGTACTCCCATTCAATTGCATCGTGACATTTTTTCGGATGTGGGCATGTCGAGCGTGCTGCAAGTCGATTGTGTTGTACTGAACGTCAGCGACTTGCTATTTGAGGTTCTGTTAGGGCCAGCCCGGATGCCGTTTGAATTTGCGCTCACTGCAGAGCCAGCTTGGAGCCAGCACTGTAAGTAGTACAAGGGACGCCATCGCTACGCTCCGGCGGTTGAGTGAACATCAATGTAATTAAAGTCATAAACCATCATATATAGTAGAAGTTCGTCATAGGTGCCATTGATAGTAGTGGGTTTGTCGTGTTTGAGCAAAATTCTTGCGTGGTCACTGTGACATATGCGCGTGTACAGCTGTCCATGTGAAAACACGTGTCTCGTACTAGTCTACTCCCACTGCGTCAAGAGTTAGCCCTTGGTAAGTAGCTGTTGAATGTCATTGCATATGCCGGCGGCCGCGCAAGAGGAGACTGACGACGGAGGAGTGTATGGCCCGAGGAAAGGGTGGTAGAGAATGTGATCCGAGGTATGAGGACGTCTTCTTCATCAATGACACTGACACCTGCAATACCCCGTAGAATGCGGACTGTGACGAGACGGGGGCCGACCGCAATGACAACAACGCGAATGTTCTTGACCAAGCCACGGTCGAGGGAGAAATTACGCAGCAAGCGGTAGACGGTGTTAACCTTCACGGTCAACGAGTGGGGAGGAAAACCTGCGGGATTCTGGCGGGCGACGTAGTCAAATATGCTGTCGGGGGAGTCGATGCCGCCGTCGTCTGCCTCCTTCAGAGAGTCGGCCGCAAGGTATGTCCCGCTTGTCTCATCAATCTGGTCGAGAACAATGCTGTTGTGCCGGTCAATCTGCCTATTGGTGGGAGCAAGCATCGAACGGTTTAGACAGGCGATGGAATTGGCGAGTACATGTGTCGGGAAGACGAAGTCAATCAGCTGCTGGTCGTCGGATACATGGTGCAGGAGGTGCAGAGAGACTTCTGGACCTTCACCGTCACCGATAGCATCAACCATGTGGGCGAGCTCAAGGAGTGTTAGCAGTCGATGATCGACTGCCTCCGGGTAGAGTTCCACCTCCGACAGCGACAGGAGAGGGGCCGACGTTGAAAGAAATGAGCTCAAGGTGGACACCCAACACGCCATCTGAACGCATACGCGAGCATCGGCCAAGGAAAGATATGGTAGAATTGGGGGCAGGAGCAGGAACGGTAGCCCATCGCGGCGAAGCGTCGTATATGCACCTAGTAAGTGGGAGATTTAATGAAAGCGCAAAGACAGTGTTGTAATTACACTTACTGAATAGTAGACATTTTACTTTCGTCGCGCACGCGCTCATGGGCGATAACAGGGAATGACTTTGATTGGCCGTCTGCAAGCACATCATACGCGGACGCAACCGTTCCGATGCCGATGATGGTGGGCTGGAAGGACAGAACGCTCTGATCGTATTCGTCCCCGAGAGATGGATCGCCGTAGAAAGGTGAGCTGGATAGCATCAAGCAAAGCCATGCCGGCAGAAGGACAACAGGCACGCGCGATGACATAAGCAATAGTATTGTCAGGTAAGACAGTGTCGTTTGGAGGGCTGTACATGCGCAGCTCAGCCGGAATGTCGCTGCCGTTCGAGCATTCGATCAAGGTGGCGTAGTAGTTGTGGAACGTCGAAGTACCGCGTTGGCGGTTAGCGCTTGATGAACGACGGCCGTTGGTGAGGGATAGAAAGCCGAAGAGAAGAAGGTTGGTCATCGCGGGAGTTGCGGGACAGCACGTTCAAAATGGCGGGCAGGCAGCGGGCAGAAATACAGTGGAACGCATAACACTAACACGTTAGATCTGATCAACACAAAGACAACAGGCAGCCTTACCATTTTGCGAGACAATAACGAAGACAGGGGTAGAGGCACAGAATGCATGACAGAGTGTCATGCGCACAACAGACAGGAGGTACAGACGCAGAGGGGGGAAGGGAACGCGCGTCGTGCAACACTGCCCATAGCCATGCGCTGAGCGGGCTGGGACAACGACTTGATTGGAACCGAGTCGGAGGGCGGTAGTGTTACAAAGCAGCTCAATGAGGCAATAGCGGCGCCAGTTGCTGTATTCGGGAAGGCAGTCGGGATGCGTCGCGCTTCCGCAGACTTACAGTCAATTAGTAGCGATGGTCTACATAAAACACAGAAAAAAGACATAGATTACTGCAGCTTGGTAACGGCTAATGGCGCATCGAGGCATAACGAGGCATAACGGCGCATCGGCCACATCGAGTTTTACTCAGCCACAGCCGTAGACAGAAGCGCTGGTCCAAACAGGTGCAAACGAATTCACCGGATCTGCTTTAGTATACGAGTAATGTAGTATCTTACGTAAATGCCTGTAAAGGGCGCAGGCTGATCTCATGATCAGCTCTGCACGTCGACGGCAGCCACGCTGGAGAGCTTTCCGGTTGTCCAGGTCAATGCGGTGCCTACCGCCGGCAAGTAGCCGCGGCGGTCACACACAGTCTCGGTTCGCAACCCTACGCAGCCTCGATCCCACGTCTATGTGGTCCGCCGCCTTGCTTATCGATAGGCACCCATTGAACAAGCTCAAGGTTCGGACAGCCTGCCTCGCGCCGCGCGCTCACTAGAAAGAGGTGCGGCACTGTATTCAAGGAGAGTGATCCTCTGTATGTGTTTGTCGTGCATCGCCGCTGAATGAATTAGTGATATGAGTACTGATTTGCAGACTCGGCTTCAGGCCGTAGAGGGCTATCCTCGCATCGACTAGTACGAACAGTCTGGATCTCACCGCGCCTACTCGAAGCAAAGAACCACTTGCGACGTCGTGTGTCTGTGTTCGACGCTTCTATACCCGCCGGCGAGCGCGCGCTACGTTGTATCGATGCATATAAATACCACTTATCATTGCCTTCGCTGTCCCTGCGCTCTCCCCCTCGGCCAGCTTCAAGCCTGAATTCTTGCAGCGCAGACCAAGAGTATTGCGAGTCCTCACGAGGTGCAACTCCGCTTTCAATCGCCAACGAATACCTCTACTGACACCGTGCTTTCCTTTTAGCGTCGCGACCACCAACGGGCGCCAGCACCGCGCGAACCGACGACCAAGACGGCGCATCTTGGCTTGTCTGGGGGCCAGCATACATATGGGATATCAGGTGGTGTGTTATCATACTATGCTTGTTCTTGGACACCACAGTCTGAGACAATGAGGTTATTAGTAACGTGTTATCGTCGAGAGTCTGCGTGGCTGTCGCCGCGCACGGGCAGGAGAATTTCATCTGTGCGACAGCGCGGTCACGTCGCCATAACGCACATCCCACGTTAACGGAATGGACAGAGCCGAGTCAATGTAAGTGTCACTGTCCAGACGCGGGTACCATAGTTTACACATGCGGATTACAGGACAGCTGCGTCGACGTCCGAGGGCTCCTCTCACGGATCATTGATCCCGCGACTTCCTGTGGAGGTCTGTGAACGGATCATCGACTACATAGCTGCGGGATGGAATACGGAATATGTTTTTGAAAAGGGCGAGCCACATCTGACCGCTCTCATATCCTGCGCGCTTGTATGCCAAGACTGGTACTTCCTGACGTGGTACCATCTTCGTCAACGCATACATCTACGAGACCGGAAGGACGTCCTCTCGCTCTCGAAGACACTCCGCGCAAAACCTCGCCTCCGTGAGGTCGTTCAACAGGTCTTCATATCGGGTGGTACTCCCGGGGAGCGGCAACCGATCCGACACCTGGGGGCGTTTGCCGTTATGCTCGCCGGCAAGGCTCCGAGGTTGTCGTGGATCAACATTGAAGATGCTGAGTGGACCATCGGCTTTGTCCGAATGGAGGACATCGGCTTCCTAGGGGTGTTCAGCTACATCAACACTCTACGGATCTCCAACGTCACCTTGTCGAGCGTCGCCCAGCTGTCCCACCTCGTTTCAGCACTCCCACAGCTTGGGAAATTATGGTGCTCCAATGTTGACTGCTTGCAGAAACAGCACGTCTCCCCGGCCTCCCTCCCACTGAACTGTGCAAATCTGAAGTATCTCGAAGTGCGATGGGTTGCACCAGCAGTCGAAGACCTCTTCGCGCACATCAGCCGGGCTTCTCGAGTGCGCTTTCTCGAACTTGGGGTGGATGACGAGTTGGATCCATACTCGGCAGCCAGCAGAAGCCAGACTTTGCTGGATGCGAGTTCCACATCTGCAGAAACGGTTCGACTCTATATCGATCCCAGTTCTCCTGTTCGTGACGATGCAATTGATGCCACAGTCGGCAGGTTTTCCTAGTTATCTCCCGAGCCACGTCACTGATCGTTTCACGCCTACAGAGCGGCATTACAACCTTTCACACCACGACCACCTGTGGATGTTGGAGATCTGGCTGTACCACCCCCTTGCAGAGTGCCCCTGGATCCCGCATATCCTGTCTCGCATCGTCTCGACACACTTCCAAGCTATGGCTGTTATTTTATGGCCTCGGAAGGACCATATGGTCGAAGACCTGGACGGACTGCTGACGAAAATGGAGCAGGATGATGTCCTGGCGCGATTGGACAGTCACGGTATACTGCAGGAGAAGCGCTTCTCCGGTACTGTTGCATGGCGCGGCATCTGTATAGGCTTTGTGGATCCAAGCATCATTTTCACGTCTGGCAATGAGCTTATTGGGATGGGTTCAGCACTACGAGAACGGTACGATCGGTTGGACGAGCTCGTCAGACGGAAGATGCCACACTCGCATGGGCGAGGTATATTGAGGTACGTAGTAATCTGGAGTTGATCAAATCGCGAAGGAAAGCTGAGTGTCCCTTGGAGCACGGTGCGTAACCTCCCAGAATTATTCAGCTGGAGGGAGGACATGGAAGAGATACATCGTCAAAGTATGCAAGCTGAACAGAAGAACACCGTTGGAGAGGATGCGCACCCCCGGGCCAAGGGTCTTCGACGCAACACGTATTGACATCCTTGCGCCCCTGCATCCTTGCTCGCATTGTCGCACGGAGTTCGTGAGTATAGAACGATCATCATTAGACCGTTCTGCTAATTTGTTGTGCGGTCTCAACGTATAGAATGGCCCCGCGGCCGCAACCCGGGTCGAAGGCTATGTTGTTGTCGGAGAAAGAATTCGCGCCCACTTATGCTTGTATCATACATGATCATTTCTCGGGTATTGAAGAATTGGACGGACGGCGGTATGGGTGTGTGCTCGAGACAGACATTCGGCTGTTCTACATATCAGGTTTTCGTCGATACTGAGACCGTATATAATTCAGCTTGAGCTGGAGCGCGTGTGCCACAGGGAGAGCACAACACGGGGAGCACAACCGAGTTCACCGAAGTCTTCCACCGCCAGATGACGTCGACAAACGCCGAGGGTCGAGCGAGACTATCGTCATACAACCTCCTGGTGCCTCGACGCGCAACTTGGAGGTCTTGCGAGCACAGGTACTGCATAACGGAACGTCGTCGTAGCAGACTCACTACTTGCGTGCAAACCTACAGTACTGTGCTTTATGAGATGGTGAAGCGTGCGGTCCGAGTACCGTCTAGTGTATTACCGGGTAGCGATGTATAGTATGGATACAGATGTGGTGAAGCAGGTGGATTAGCTCGTACGCACAGGCATCACCCGGGGTGATATAGAGAACGCGGTAGCCTCTAAGCGTATACCTCAGGCTCAGCACGCGGGGCTCACGAGCCGACGCTGAACAACTCTCCGCACCTTGTTGTTCGGGTTCTTGAACACGAACTTCGCGCTGCGCATACCGAGCTAGGTGAGCACGATCGCAGGTGGGAACACGGGGGACTAATGCACCTGAGCGCGTCCTCATGCCAGTCCATCTCGCTGCCGATGAGGGAGAAGAGCGCCTTGCTGTCGATGAGGACCTTCACGCCGTCCTGCTCGACCACCTCGTCGAACTTGCCCGGCTTGTCGACGTATTCGAGGTGGTACGAGAGCCCTGCGCAGCCCTTGTTCCGCACGCCTATCCGTATGAGCTGGGGCGTGGGCCCCTTGAGCAGTACGCGGAGCCGCCGCACAGCGCCGGGTGTCTGTACCGCACGCTGTTGGTCTGTCAGCGTACAGGTCGTGAGTGGAGCGGTCCGGGGCTACGCACGACTGTGATGACAGCTTTGGTCGGTGTGATGGTGGGCTTGCGCCCCTCGTTCTTCGGAGCGAGCGGCGGGCGCGCTGCTACTTGCGGCGACGCCGCATCGGGGGAGAGCGAGTTCGTCGACGGAGCTTTCGCCTTCGCCTTCTAGAAGGAAATGATCACAGGGGGTGTCTGTCTCAGCGGCTTGGACGGACGTGGCAATCGGCGGATGTTGTAGTCGGCGGGTCGTCGCGAGAGGGCAGACATCATGGCACGGCGGTGGGTGGGGAGGAAGATCATGGCCCCGCTAGACGGGGACGCAGTGAAGGAGGATGCGAGGGAGAGTAGGCATTGCATGCGGTGGAGGCGGGCAACTGCGGACGCCATGGCTGCGGCGTTCGGGAGAGAGGTCGTCGAGGGAGAGGACGGCGAGCATGGGGACGGAAGTGCGGTGTCGGAGGATAGCGTTTGGGCGGCACCTACTGCGAACGAGGCGGCCGAGGCTACCTGAAGTACAGGAATCCAACGCGACGTCGAGAGGTGGCCTAGTCAAGTGCACGAACGGCTTCGGCATGCTGAGGTGCGCGCACGCGTTGAGCGGATAGGCGAGGCAGGCCGTCGACGGCGTGATAGTGGACACATACGGGGTGCTCATGCTTGACGACGGGATAGCGCGAACGGTGTGAGCCGCATGCGGTAGAGGACGGACAGAGGGGTCGAGATTTACTGACGACGACCGCAAGAAAGACGACGGTGGTAGAGAGCGGATGTTGATGAGGAGAGCAGACTCATAGTCGCCAGGCTTGAGGGTTGGTGGCGACGTGGACTCACAGTAATTGGGCTTGAGGGCGGTGACTCCCCGCCACTGAGTCGCGACGCTCTCGTCTTGAGGCCTTGAGGGATGATGTCCCGGTTAATATGCATTTGCGTAGAGACGAACAGCAGCCACCCCGCCGCGAGCCTGCCTGCCCCGCCGCACTTGCGCTCGCCGTGATGCGTGTGTGGCGACGACAACGGCAACAAAACACACGCGCCCGTCCCGATGTAGGGAGGTCAAGTAGTCGAGATGGACGTAGGGCTTGGTGAAGGACGACGGTTGTGGTCCTGTAATGAGTAGTCAGGCCGCCGAAACCAGAGGAACACTTACCGATATCAAAATGCGCGACTCGACCCGACTCGTTCTGCTCGACTTGCTACTCGATTAGTGCTGCAGACACGACCGTCTCGTCGCACAAGTGTGCCGGAGTCAGGACTGCGAGATGAGAGAACTGGGGAGACTCGATAGGGAGCAGGGCGACGCGGCCTGACGCGGCCCAGTATCAATACACACGAAGACACATGAGCATGGGAACGAGAGTGAGAGACAACAAACTAGTAGCAGAAGAGACGTCGGCGAGTGGGAGACGGTTCGAACTTAAGAGGCGCGGCGCGTGAGTGGTTGCTAGATCGGGAAGGAACGATACCGAATGAGGAAAGTATCGCACAGCGGCCACATGAGCACCCTTCTGCCAGGCGACGGACGTTGGTTGATTGACCCTCCAGCGGTGAACGTTGAACGTTGAACGTTAAAAGGCAGACCCTTGTCTCGGTAGGATGCTGGCAGCACGCACGCGATGCTTTTGCTGATCGCGACCAGCAGGTGCGGCATGGCACTCGTCGTTGCGGCGCTCGTCTCGTCCTACTTGCGGGTCCGCGTCGCAGCCTTCTGGCTCGTCGTAAGCGCGCCGGTAGAGTCGGTAGTACCGTAGTGGAATGGTATTGTAACACTCTGTCAGAAAACGCGCTCAGCGAGATGGAGAGACGAGCGAAAAGAGAAAGAAAAAATCGTGATTGTGATGACGCCCGCAGGCGTCCGACGGTTTTCCCCTCCACACTTCCCGACGCTGCACTGGCTGTGCACTGTACGCTTCCCGCCGCGCCCGTCCTTCATTTACCAGCGATGGTGTCCATAGAGTAGTGATCGGGGCTGTAACATGACATCCCGCCTCGGCGATTCACCACTAACCCTAGTCTCGGGGTCCCCTTGCGCCGCGCGCCACGTTGTCACACCGAGTATGTACACTGGCACGACCACGACATCGCATCGGCGGACAGCAATGGACTCGCCCGGACACCATGGTTGTCGACGTCCTCACGAACATCAATAGACCCTCGCCGCTGCAAGCCACCATGTACCGTTGGTCAGCAGGATTCCAGCGCTGATAGCATACTCGTGCCACTCTCGCAGACTCTCACCAACACATCGACACGCCGACTCGAGCAGCTGATCAGTGAGTCGCTCCGTGTAGACACACCGAACACTGTTATGCAGGTGTCGCTAAGGCCTACCACAGCTTAGCTGCTTCCGCAGCGGGCAGGCGGGGCTTGAGCAGGGCGTGGAAGCCCCGAGAACACCGCATACAGCTTGTCCCCGTTGCGCTGCCCCTATCACTCGCGCATCCAACGGCTTCTATCCACCTCAGCCAGCTCACAACGTCCCGCCCACAGCCGTCCACGAGCAGCCGGGAGACTTCCAAGCTACACGTCATAGACGAGCTCGAACAACTCCTGCTGCAAACGCGGAAGAACTCCCCGGACAGGTACCCAGCCCGCAACAAGCTCATAAGGCACCTTCCTTGACGCGGTCCTTGCCAACCCAGGGACACTCGCCGTCTACGATTGAGCCACCGCCGCTTAGCCAAGGCGCTGGATAGCGCACCTGCGCCGACAACCGGCGGGCCCCATTACGAAGAATCACCGTGTGCGTGTGGGAGGTGTGTGCCAGACATGCGGTTTATTACTCGAACTCGGCTAACCCAATCTGCGCAGGTAGTCGATGTTGAACGATCTCCATATGTACGCACTCAACACCAGTACGCGCGATGGAACGCGCTGGGATCCCGGCGCACGAAGTCACTCTTCTCCTACCGTTCCCGCTGCCAAACTACTCATCGCCCGAGTGCGGGGGCGCGCGGCGCGCGGTGGCCAATCTCGCTCGAAAGATCAAGCCGTGCGCATCAATGCGACCACTCGGAAAGCTCACGCACGCTCATCTTCGAGGGCGGCGTCTTCAACTATGGGCAAACTCGCACGTCGCGCATTTCCACAACTGCACGTCGCTCGCGCCCAGCGCCCTCCCCTACTTCTCCACGCCGCAACCGCAGTGAGACTACGCGCCGGTGCCCTCTGTCGATGTTCGCGTTGGCTTCGGGCCGGGTGGTCGCATCCAGAGGGCGCCGACCTCTCTGCCTCGCAATTTCCCCCTCTGGCTCGCCCATCACGGTGGCCCTCTTGGACGGAAGAAGATCGAGCGCAGAGAAGTCGGCAGCCCTTCCGGCGGGCGGTAGTGCGAGCGGCGCGGACATCATTCCCAAGCAGGCGCGCGAGGATGCTTCACCTCTGGCTGGCATTCTGCGCGGCGCCGCACTGCTGTCGCACTGGATAACGTTCTCTTCGAGCGTCCCCGTTACCCGGGCACTGCTTCCCCGAGTATCCTGCCTGGTCAAGCCCTGACGCGTGGACCCTCTTCCCACTCCCCAAGCCCTCGCAGATCGCAAGGACCACGCATGGGATGCTCGTGGCAAATCCGGCCCCTCGTACGCTTCTTGTGCAGCTGCGCGTTCTTGTCAGGTCTGCCCGACTCCCGCCTCGTGTCCACCGCGACCCTTCGCGCGTGACAACGAGCTCGATCTGGCTGCCGTGCACGGACTGAGCACGCCTGTGAATGCGCGCAACTGGGACCGGCAATGCAGGGGGTGTTTTGCCTGCCGCGACCTCGGACCGCTCGTAAACGGCGGACGGCGAGAACGGTGCGCGCCGTCCAAGGCAATCTCCCGATTCTAGGCCTATCTCCTCTACCCGGCTCGCCTTTTACCTTCCCGTCTCACGGATTCAACTTGTCCCTCACGCGCTATAGCCATCGGAGCTATCAGACGCAGCATGCAGGTGGCGTGTTCAGCGCGCATGAACCTCGTCCCAGTAAGTTATCTGCCCTGGCGAAATGCATCGCACCTCTCACGACCTCCCCAGGCTGCGTTCAGCCGCCAGGTGTCATGCTCACAGCCTACGAGCGGAAGGTACCGGTGGTAAAGTTTGTGCGCACACGGCGGACAGCATCCACACGCACTTCGAGGTCGACCAGAGCCAGCCGGGCGCAGGCGGCAGGCAAGTGCGCCGGATGGACCTGACGCACACCGTCGACGACATCTGCAACTCTAGCACCGCGTGAGTGGCCCCGCCTGTCCACGCGTGTGGGCACCCTGCTGAACCGTGATCTGGGTGTAGGTCGTGCCCCGAGAACGTGCCGGGGCCGTATACGCATCGGACAACATTCTCTGCCAAGGCGCTGGACGACGCGAAGCCGATCGAGCAGGCGGGGCTCGTCAACACACTCGTCATCCCAGTGGTAGGTGTTGGTGGCCTCCCAGGTTCAGGAGCTGCTGCCGACGCGTCTGCGAAGACTCCCTGCCATTCCTGACGAGGGATCTGCCGGATTTCATAGCACGCTTGTGCGCGCAAGACCCACAATATGCGCCACATTTCAACGTCTCCGGGACAACTGGGAGGTGCAGGTCACTCATCGCTGACCGCAAGTCTTCCCTGGCCATCCGTGAGGAGTTCGGCCTGATCAAGATGGCTCACGCGCTCTATGTCATTCAGGCCACTGGTGACCATGCCGCGGAGGTTGCGGACGAGTAGCAACAAATACCCAGTGATATACCCGCGTGTTGTGGTCTTGTGTACGTACCGAAACGATCGCTCCATGCTGTTCGTCGAGAATACAGAAAGTGTATACACAGATTCCTTGGCTCTCTCACCGCCATTCATGGGCGTAAACACTGTCAAGAAGCGTTCTACATGGCCTCCGATGGTTTCTCCTCCGAGGACCTTCATGATGCGCACAACGGTGCGACTGGCGCGTGAGCGTGACAGAAGTGTACTCGCATCCACATGAGACACCACGTAGTCCCGCACGGTGACAAAAAGCCGCGAACGATCACGGACAAGCCTTGGACGGCCCATGGAGGTTCCAAAGGGACGGCTGGGAGAAACTGTGGTCGCAATCGTGAGACGGGTCAGAGGCATAGGCAGATGAGGCGAAAGCCTACCTTGCAAAACTATCTCAAGAGCCGGTTGCTGCGCCAGGGCTAGTAGTCCTCTTCCAGCTGTTCCAGTCGCTTCCTCGCCCCAAGCTCCGTCAAATCCTCGAAGTGGCCGGCGTACGCGAGGTCCGGCATGTGGGCGTAATCCTAACCTACCCGATACAGATGACAAAGAGAAAGGAACTCGCCGCCATGGTATTCATTATTGCGACCGCGCTTCAGGTGTTCCAGCGTATCCTCGACCCAAAGGGCGTTGACGAGCACGGACAGGACGAGGTCACGGCGAAATGGCGATTCCTCGCTGTCTTTGGCAACGGTCTGGTGGAGCGGGAAGTGCTCAACTGTGGCCATCGGGTTCGGGCGCGGCCAGGCGGTGAGCTTGGCGACACAGTCCAACGACTTGAGCGCGGTCTCGTATTCGCGCTTGCGATGCGCGACGCCTTTCTAAGACACCCTGACCGTGGTATGCGACCGGATTCTGTGAGACACGTTAGATGAATGTCGATACGGGCAACAGGGGGCTGGAAGAACAACACCTGCAGCGCGTTGGCAACCTCAGATGGGATCGATGCCAACGAAATTCTTTTAGAACGCTCGCCCCTCGGCCTCTGAACCGGTGTAGAAGATGATGACCATGCAGGCTTGCCGTTGGGCCCAACGACTACTGTCTGGATCTGCGAGGACTTGTCGCCCGGGTCACGGTGGTCCCACTACTGCGCAGTGACCTCGGTTAGAACCTTGAGCTAACTACGGTCGTATATTGCGACGCAGCGAAGTCGGTTCAGCGCTGGTTGTGGAGCTAGTAGAAACCGAGATCAGAGACGACGCCGGAGTTCGACCCGCCGTCGCGGATGCCCCAACATAGATCGGTGTTCTCTGTCTTTACGACCGGTCCATCAGCGAGGACAACGGTGGCCTAGGAACACATGAGGATACGTGCAGCATAAAGCTGAACGAGACTCACTTTGAGGACGTCGTCGAGGGCGATTCCGTGAGACGGCGACAGGTAGCCGCAGCCTCCGCCGAGGGTCAGGCCGGCTATACCGCCATGTTGAGCATCAGCGAACGCGTAGTCATACTATGCGGATATTAACGAAACATACATCGTTGACCGTACCGCCGACTGTCGCAAGGCCATGATACTCAGTTGCGGCCTTGTCGATGGTCTCGCAGATCGCTCCGCCGGAAACGTAGCCGATCTTCCTCTCAGGTTCAACGCGGGCGTAGTTGAAGTATTAATTCAGGTCAATGATGACGAGACCGCCCTCGCGGTGAAGGATGGGCATGCAGGGTTGTGACCACCGCCCTTGATAGCGATCTCAAGGCCATGTGAACGTGCGTACTGGACTGTGAATGCGCGTTCTGGACTGCGAGCGAGATGTCTTGTACATCCCTGACGAAGCGACGATCTTCGCATTGCGCTTCGCGTTCATCGCCCAGCGCGCAATCGCCTCGTCATGATCGGAGCTCTCGGGAGTGTCAGATCACCCTTGGACTCTGCAGGAAAGTCGGGCAGTGGAGACTTGGCATCCGTGCGTGAGCTGTCGGTGCGGCAGGCATTCATAATCATAAGTGCCAGGCGAGGACAATCGTAGCGCTGCGGGAAAGGGTGTCAGAAACTCAGGCTGACACCGCCGCACATGTACAGTAAGAGGTCAGGAGCATACCTTCAACCGTTCAGCATGCACGCAAACATGCCAGGTCGTCTTGGGAGGCTTGCTGATGCAGCAGGTGGGCATCGAAAGGGGAGATCACCGCGTAGCGCAGGCTTTGATGTCAGGTTGCCGCAGCTCGGTGATCGTAGCCTTGGTCCGGGCGAGCTAGAATCTCAGGGACAAGGGCCGGACAAGCTAGGATGAAATCCACGTCTGCGCTGTTATAAGCAGTATCCGTGTGCCCTAACGCAATGCCACTGGAAGATCCGCAATATCGTGACATGCCATGGCACGATGGGAGGAACGTCGCGTTGTTCTCGATGAAATGGCATTGTGGATTGCTGCAACTCACGTTCAATACAAGGTCTGGCGGGACTGAACGAAGGGTGGGAGTGAAATGGACCGAAGTTTCCTGGTGTTCTGCGGTCGATGTCTTCCGAGAGACCCCGCGAGTCAGGCGAGGAACGAGGCAATGCGAGGGAACTACGAGCCGTGTCTCATAGGAGATCCAAACCTCGTATACTCAGTAAGCATACGATGCATCGAGTTGAGTCGGACAATACGAAGAGACGACGTACCTAGGGATCTAAGGAGAGGTGTGCACGGATGCGCTAGCATTAGTCGGCATGTATGGGCGATTACTTATAATGCATCTGCTCAACGTTCAACGGTGTTAGGCAGCCGTATGATGGCACTTACCTTCAGATACTGCCCGCGCAACGGACGAACAGACATACAGCTTCACAACGTGTCTGCACTCACGAGCCCGGAGGACGGCCACTTCCGTGACCTTGCAGTGGTTGTATTGACTACTCGTGAACGCTCAGTACTCAGTGACGACGTCGGACGATCCTAGGACGGTGTCGAGACGAAGAGGCAGACGCCGGAGGCCCAGCCTGAGCCGTTGATGTGTCAGGAAGGCAGCCGTGAGTGAGCACGAGAGCCACGGTGACAAAGCAGGGTAGCTAGGACTGGTGGAGAGTTTGGCCAAAGAGGTGGCGGGGCGAAAGGGCACGTATCCAGCGTTGGTATGTAGCCTGAAGGAGATGGCGCTGCGACGGGCGGAGCATCGGAGGCAGCCAGTGCGTCGGTACCTTCCTGGAAAGTGCGGGCGGTCCACCCTCGACGGTTGCAGGAGTCACGCATCGTGCCAGACTGAGCGGTGAAAACAACGACGGGCGTCGAGCAGGCAGCGAGTCGACCGGTCGGATAAATGTCGGAGAAGGCGGGCCGATCGACAGGAACAGCGAGCGCCCTCTCTTTCGGCGACGACGTCTGGGACGACCTGCTCTGCTCACTCTGGGACGGTGTTCCTGTGCATCGGATTGCGCGCGGACAGTCCGCTCGCTGTTACTGGGCCGGCCAGCACGACAGGCCAGCACGACAGGCCGTCGACATTTCGTGCTCGCGATCAAGTTGTATACCCGGCTTCACTGCGTCGGACCTTTCCTCCACCTTGTTTAATCTTCGTCCTTTCCTCCGCTCTCCTACGATGAGCTGCTATCGGCCGTCAGGCGAAGCCAGTGCTGGGCTGCTGCTTGCTCTACGACTGTGCGGCGCTTCGTCCACCCGAAGACCAGTCCGCCTCCCCCTTAGGTGTCGGTATGCCACCGCGTAAGTCTGGACTGGAACGTCTTTGACCTGTACCTATTGTCTCTAAGCCATTTTCCTACAGATGGACCTGTACTAGTATCAATGCTGGTGCGATATCTGGCAGCTCACCGCCTTTGCGGGTTCATTTTGCGCTTCGTATACCGGACGACAAACTCTGACAGCATGCAGGCTGTCTTCATCCAGTGAGTTCTCGCCCTTTATCCGCGCAGTATCGCTGCTGACATTTTGTGAACACTGGCAGCTGAACACTCTCGTTAACCGCGTCCATCACACAGACCATCGTTAGAAAGCCACAACGTTGCGCAGACGCACGCCTGGCCGTACTTCCGCCCTGTCCGCACAACGCCTTCGCACATTGGTCCGGCCGAAGATTGATTGCGGCCGTGCCTGCGTTCGACGTGTCATCCAGCCGCTCTAGGTATGTCACGTTCGCGTCCGACAGGCCTGTCTGACATACACGCATATGCGCATTTAGTCCTTCGTCCACCCTATGTACCTGACATCGGCGGTGTCAAATCATGGTCAGTCGATGTATCGGATAAGCGGATTACAGGTATGCTGTCCAGTCCCGCTGAGCGTATATGGCATTGCTGAGGTCGTCTTCGCAGTCATGTAGATGTCCTGTGGCTATTGTGCGCCTGTGCTACATCGCCTTCACCTTTGAAATGTACGTAGACTTGCCTTTTAGTGTCGTCCCTGACCAACGTGCGTATCACGCATGATTTGGTTGGATATGCAGTTGGGCACGCAGAAGAGGTCATTGAAGCGTGCGCAAGACGGACATTGATCACACCGAGGACACGACAGCATCCATGTCAAGCGGGGTGGTCGCGTGTTCCACGACCAAGTTGATGCCCGAGCGGATGCGGTAGGGCATACGGAAGACAGGTAATGTTGGGCAGGTACGAGGGCCCGCATACGACTGGTTATGCAAGAGCAGTGCCATTCTGGAGTCGCGACCCCACAGAGGCCGAGGCATCACTCATCCCGGCCATCGAAAGAACTGAAGCTACATACAGATCGTGCCCAGCGCTCTTCGCTGGTACTGGATTGGATGCGACATTGGCCTCGCGTTCGCTTCCTCTGTTCAGAACCCTGCGCAGCCTCGATCCCACGTTAGCTATGTGGTCCACCTTGATTGTCGGTGAGCCTTCTTTGGACGGGGCCCCGGATCATGCGCGTCGTTCCTAGCGCCAGTCGGACGTGGAGGCGCACGGTAGTCGTCCTGGAGGTCGGCGGTGCGCCCTGCGGACTCGCCTCATGCCGAATCTCGCTCGTCGAAGAGTCCTGACACGACTGCGCCTGCGGGAGCGCTGGCGGACGAGGAGGGCACTGTCCATGGCGAGGGCTCGCAGTACCAGCGCGGGCGCGTCTTCGACTATACCCAGCCGCGTCGCCTGCACACCGACATGTCGCCGCTGTTGCTCTCGACGTACGACGAGCCTATCCGCCGGGTGATCGAGGACATGCGCGAGCAGCGGATGAGCCTGTGCCAGAGCTTGCGGCAATACGTTTTCGTGTATTGCGCTGTGATCGAGGGGACGCTGATGATCGTTGACGAGGATGGGAAGGCGGACGAGCTGGGTCGTTTGTCGCCAGAGGGTGCTCGACACGTCAAGGGTGCGCTGCTCGCAGACCGTCAAGACGTCTTCATGGACGGGCCCATGCACTCACCGGAGACCCTGTCTTCCGTGGGCTCGGGTGCGTCGCTGCGCGAGCGGGGCGTGTCGCGGAAACGCAGCATCTCTGACTACATGCGGGAGGACGCGGCGATCGATGGGCATCTGTCGATGTCGCCGGGCGGGACGAAGCGGGGCGCGAGCCCGACGGAGCTGCCCAAGGAGGGCGTGCAGGGCGAGGCGATGTTGACGAAACGACCGAGCATCAAGCGTACGTCGCGCATGGACACCGTCTGAACCTGAGCCTGAGGAGGCTTTTGCCTCATGTCGACTCGCCCCCGGGGGCTTTACCTCGCGTGCTTCCCTCTCGGACCTTCACCCTCTCACCTTGTTTCGCTCATGGCTGTCGCTGGATCCCGCAGTCAATCAGGCCACCTGCCCCCTCCCTTACGTCCCCCCACCGTTGACCGGCGCCCTGGACGTCACGCTGTGGATTGCTGTCATGCGCGCGTACTGTTTCTCTCTGAGCCTATCATTCCATTCCGTCATCGAGCCTGTTTCCTGGGGCCTGTCTGCCTCTCTCTGTGCTCGTTCCGGATGGATAATGCGCACCGTTTCTCGTTGCTGTCACTGGTCCTGATTCATGTTCTGGCAGCTGTATACATATGATACACAACCCACTCATCTACGCACACCCGCTGTTCTGCTTACTTACCCACCGCGCATATGTACTACTGTATCCTGTAGACCGTCGTGTAGTCTTATAGTACTCCCATTCAATTGCATCGTGACATTTCTTTCGGATGTGGGTGTGTGGAGCGTGCTGTAAGTCGACTTTGCGAGCCTGAGCGCAAATTCAAACAGTGCGCGTCCGGGCCGGCCCGACAGACTCAAATCGGAGCCAGCACTGTGTAACTTAAAGGCCGCACGCTGCTCTCAGCTCTGCCGTCGACGTAGCTAACCCGAGCGCTGGAGCAGCTTTCCGGTCGCCAGCTGTCGTTGTATGATTGTCAAATGTCCAGGTCAACGCGATGCTACCGCCGGCAAGTAACCGGCGTATCCCCCTGCATGCATACGGCGGTCACCAGCCTACTATATGTGGTCCGCCTTGATTATCGATAGGCACCCATTGAACAAGCTCAAGGTTCGGACAGCCTGCCTCGCGCCGCGCGCTCACTAGAACGAGGTGCGGCACTGTATTCAAGGAGAGCGGTCCTCTGTATGTATTTCTCGTGCATCGCCGCCGACTGAAATCAGTGACATGAGTATTGCTTTGCCGACGCTTCAGGCTGTAGAGGGCTATCCTTGCATCGGCTGCGAACAGTCTGGATCTCACCGCGCCCGCTCGAAGCAAAGGACCACTTGCGACGTCGTGTGTCTTGAGTTCGACGCTTCTATACCCGCCGGCGAGCGCGCGCTACGTTGCATCGATGCATATATACCAGTTATCATCGCCTTCGCTGTCCCCGTGCCCTCCCCCTCGTCCAGCTTCAGCCTGAGTCCTTGCAACGCAGACCAAGATCCATTCGAAGTCCTCACGAGGTACGACTCCGCTTTCGCCAGCGATTCTCTTTACTGACACCGTGCTTTCCTTTTAGCGTCGCGACCATCAACGGGTGCCAGCACCGCGCGAACCGACGACCAAGACGGCGCATCTGGCTTGTCTGGGAGCGAGTGTACATACCGGATATCAGGTGTGCTATCGCACTATGCTTGTTCTTGGAGAGCCGCAATCTGAGATAACGAGGCTATTAGTAACGTGTTTCCACTGTCGAGGGTCTGCTGTCGCCGCGCACGGGCAGGAATTCTCATCTGTGCGACAACGCGGTCACGTCGCCGTAGCGCACATCCCACGTCAACGGAATGGATAGAGCAGAGTCAATGTAAGTGCCACTGTCCAGACGCATGTACTTTGGTTTACACATGCGGATTATAGTACTACAGTGCATCGACGTCCGAGGGCTCTTCTCACGGACCTGCGATCTCGCGGCTCCCTGTGGAGGTCTGCGAACGGATCATCGACTACCTAGCTGCGGGATGGGTTACGGGTTACGTTATTGCAAAGGGCGAGCCACATCTGACCGCTCTCACATCCTGCGCCCTCGTATGCCAAGACTGGTACTTCCTGACATGGTACCATCTTCGTCGACCGTCCATCTACGAGACCGGACGGACGTGATCTCGCTCTCCAAGACACTCCGCGCAAAACCTCGCCTCCGTGAGGTCATTCAACAGGTCTCATATCGGGTGTTCTCCCGGGGAGCGTCAACCTATCCGGCACCTGGGGACGTTTGCCGCTATGCTCGCGGGCAAGGCTCCGAGGTTGTCGTGGATCACCATTGAAGATGCTGAGTGGACCATCGGCCGGTCCGAATAAAGGACATCGGCTACCTGGTTGCGTTCAGGTCCATCCACACTCTGAACATCCGCAATGTCACCTTGTCGAGCGTCGCCCAGCTGTCCCACCTCGTTTTAGCACTCCCGCGGCTTAGGGGTTTATGGTGCTCCAATGTTGACTGCTTGCAGAAACAGCACGTCTCCCCGGCTTCTCTCCCGCTGAACTGTGCAAATCTGGAGAATCTACAAGTGCAACGGTTGCACCAGCGGTCGAAGACCTCTTCGTGCAGATCAGCCGCGCTTCTCGAGTGCGCTATCTCGATCTTGGGGCGGACGGCGAGTTGGATCCATCCCGGCAGCCAGCAGAAGCCAGACTTTGCTGGATGCGGTTCCACATCTGCAGAAACGGTTCGACTCTATATCTATCCCACTTCTCCTGTTCGTGACGATGCAATTGATGCCACAGTCGGCAGGTTTTCCTAGTTATCTCTCGAGCCACTTCGCTGATTGTTTCAGGCCTACAGAGCGACATTGCAACTGTCACACCACGACCACCTACGGAGGTTGGAGATCTCTCTGTGGCACCCCTTTGTAGAGTGGCTCTGGATCCCGCACATCCTGTCTCGCATCGTCTCGAAACACTTCCAAGCTATGGCATTGTGTTATATCTTCGGATAGACCACATGGCGAAGACCTGACGAATGCTGACGACAATGGACCGGATGATGTGTGGCGCGATTGGACAGTATACTGCAGGAGAAGCGCTTTCTCGGTACTGTTGCGTCGCGCGGCGTCTGTATAGGCATTGCGAGATGGAGCTATTGGCGTCTGGCAATACTGGGATGGGTTCAGCACTACGAGAGCGGTACGATCGGTTGGACGAGCTCGTCAGGCGGAAGATGCCACACTCGCATGACGAGGATTTTGAGGTACGTAGTATATGGAGTTGGTCAATCGCGCAGGAAAGCTGAGTGTCCCTTGAAGCACTGGCATACTTCGAAGAATCACAGCTGGAGGGAGGACGTGCAAGAGATACATTTCAGAGTATGCAGCAACAGAAGAACCGCCGAGAGGATGCGCACCCCCGGGCCAAGGGTCTTCGACGCAACACGTATTGACATCCTTGCGTCCCTGCATCCTTGCTCGCATTGTCGCATCGAGTTCGTGAGTATAGGACGATCGTCATTAGGCCGTTCTGCTGATTTGTTGTGCGGTCTCAACGTATAGAATGGCCCCGTGGCCGCAACACAGATCAATATGCGTTGTCGGAGAAAGAGTTCGCGCTCACTTATGCTTGTATCATACATGATCGTTTCTTGGAATTGAGAAATTGGACGGACGGCGGTATGTTTGTGTGCACGAGACAGACATTCGGTTGTTCTAGATATCAGGTTTTTGTCGAGACTGGGACCGTACTTATCTAATTCAGCTTAAGCTTGCGCAGAGCCCTACATACTGACTCGACTTTTGCCGATAATTTTCACTGAAGTCTTCCACCGCCAGATGACGTCGACGAACGTCGATGGTCGAGCGAGACTGTCGTCAAATAACCTCCCGTTGCCTCGACACGAAACGTGGAAGCACTGTGAGCACAGAACAGTACAGGCTAGCGGCGTAGGGGGGCATCTTCGTACTAATGGAGCATCGTCGTCACGCACCCGCCACTTGTGCAGAAACCTACAGCGTGCTTCATGAGACGGTGAAGCTTGCGGCCGAATACTGTCTAGTATTACCGGGTGGAATATATGGATACAGATGTGGTGAAGCAGAGATATTAGCTCGTGCGCATCCCGGATATAGACAACGTAGAAAGCGTACACCTCAGGTTCAGCGCGCACCGTTCACGAGCCGACGCTCAACGACTCTCCGCACCCACACGCGTCCTTGATGTCCTGGTTCTTGAACACGAACTTCGCGCTACGCATACCGGGCCAGATGAGCGCGATCGCAGGAGAAAGTACGGATATATAACGCACCTGGATGCGTCCTCGTACCAGTCCATCTCCCTGCCGATGACGGAGAAGAGCGCCTTGCTGTCGATGAGGATGCGGACGTTCACGCCGTCCTGCTCGACCACCTCGTCGAACTTGCCGGGCTTGGCGAGGTACTCGAGGTGGTACGAGAGCCCTGCGCAGCCCTTGTTCCGCACGCATATCTGTATGAGCTGGGGTGTGGGCGCCTTGAGCAGTGCGCAGAGCCGCTGCACAGCGCCGGGTGTCTCAGACGCACCGCACGTCGTTGGTCTCGTACAGGTCGTGACTAGAGGGGTCCGGGGCTACGCACGACAGCTTCGGCCGGTGTGATAGTGGGCTTGCGCCGCTCGGCCTTCGGAGCGGGCGGCGGGCGCGTTGCTACTTGCGGCGACGCCGCGTTTGTCGACGGCTCGTTCGCCTTCGCCTTCTAGAAGGGAATGATCACAGGGGGTGTCTGTCCCAGCAGCTTGGACGGATGTTGCGGTCGGAGGATGTTGTAGTCGGCGGGTCGTCGCGAGAAGGTGGACATCGTGGCATGGCGGCGGTGGGGAGGAACGTACGTCATGACACGGCTGGACGAGGACGCGAGGGAGAGTGCTTGTGTGCGGTGGAGGCGAGCAACTGCGGACGTCATGGCTGCAGCGTTAGGGTGAGAAGTCGTCGAGGGAGAGGACGACGAGCATGGGGACGGGGAACAGAAGAGCGGTGTCGGAGGATAGCGGTTGTGCGGCACGTACTGCGAACGAGGCGATCGAGGTTGCCGGAAGTACGGGAATCGACCCCTTTGTCCGCCCTCCATCATATGCGGCTCACACCGCTCGCGCTATCCCGTTGTCGAGCAGGATCACCCCGTGTGTGCCCACTATCGCGCCGTCGACGAATGTGCACAACGCACGCGCACCTCATCACACCGTAACCATTCGTGCACTTGACCGGGCCATCTCCCAACGTTGCGCTCGAGGTTTGCTGAGGGCAGACGCCGCCGGAGGTTGATGCAGATGTCCTGGTTGATATGCACACGCGTGTCCCTGCTGTCGTGGAGAATGTGTGCGTGGCGACGACAAAAACAAAAAGAAACGCGCGCGCTCGTCCTGATGCAGGGAGGTTGAGCAGTCGAGATGGACGTAGGGCCCGGGCTTGGTGAAGGACGACGGTGGTGGTCTGTAACGAGTAGTTAGTCCGCCGAAACCAGGGGAGCACTTACCGCTATCGGTACGCGACTCGACCCGACTCGTTCTGCTCGACTTGCTACTCGACTAGTGTTGCACACGCGACCGTCTCGTCGCACCAATGGGCCCGAGTCGGGACTGCGATAGGTATCATGGCGACGCGGCCTGACGCGGCCCAGTATCAATACACACGAAGAGACATGAGCCATGTAAGCGAGAGTGAGAGACTAGCAGAAGAGACGTCGGCGAGTGGGAGGCGGTTCGAAAGAAGCGCGGCGCGTGAGTGGTTGACGGATCGGGAAGGAATGATACCCAATAAGGAAAGTATTGCATAGCCGCCACATGGGCAACCTTCTGGGTGACGGACGTTGGTTGATTCCCCCTCCAGCGTTGAAACGTTGGCGTTGAACGCTTCACGAACCAGCGTTGGTGTTCATAGAGTAGTGATCGGATGATTCCGTACACACAAATGACATCCCGCCTCGGCGATTCAAGGGCCGCCACTAACCCCAGTCTGGGGGTCCCCCGACGCCGCGCGCGCGTCGAGCGCGTATTGTCACACCGAGTATGTGCACGACCACGACAGCACATCGGCGGACAGCAATAATGGACCCGACGTACGTGTTCACGAACATCAATCGGCCGTCACCGCTGCAAGCCACCATGTACCGTTGGTCAGCAAGATTCCAGCGCCGAGAGAATACTCGTGCCACTCTCGCAGACTCTCACCAACACATCGACACGCCGACTCGAGCAGCAGACGTGAGTTGCTCCGTGTAGACACGCCAAACACTGGTATACAGGTGTTGCTCAACTTTGCCACAGCTTGGCTGCTTCCGCAGCGGGCAGGCGGGGCTGTAGCACGGCGTGAAACCTCGAGAACTCCGCATACAGCTTGTCCCTGTCACTAGTACTCTCACCCGTGCATTCAACGGCTTCTATCCTCAGTCAGCTCACAACGTCCCGCCCACAGCTATCCACGAGCAGCCAGGAAACTCCAAACCGACACGTCACAGATGAATGCGAACAACTCGTGCCACAAACGCGGAACCACTCCCCGGACAGGTACCTAGCCTGCGCCAAGCTCACAAGGGCCTTCAAGCCTCGACGCGGTCCTTGCCAATCCAGGACACTCGCCGTCTACGATTGAGCCGCCGCTTAGCCAGGGCGCTGGGTAGCGAACCTGCCCCGACAACCAGCCTGAGCGGATCCCATCACAAGGAGTCACCGTGCGCGTGGGTAGAGGTGTGTGCCAGACATGCGGCTTTCAACTCGAACCCGGCTGACCCAATCATGCGCAGGCCGTCGATGTCGAGCGATCTCCATACGCACTCAACACCAATACGCGCGATGGAACGCGCTGGGTTCCCGACGCACAGAACAACTCCTCTCCTGCGGGTCGCCACCGCCAAACTACCCATCGCCCGTGTGCAAGGGCGCGCCGCGCACGGTGGTCAATCTCGCTCGAAAGATCAACCCGCGCGTATCGCGCGCACCAATGCGAACACTCTCGGAACGCTCATTTCTCAGGGCGGCGTCTTCAACCATGGGCAAACTCGCGTGCCCCGCACCTCCCCAACTGCACGTCGCCCTCGCTCGCGCCCAGCGCCCTCCCCTACTTCTCCACGCCGCAACCGCAGTGAGACTACGCGCCGGTGCCCTCTGTCGATGTTCGCGTTGGCTTCGGGCCGGGTGGTCGCATCCGGAGGGCACCGACCTCTCTGCCTCGCAGACCCCCCCTCTCCGAGTCGCCCGTCGCGGTGGTCCTCTTGGGCGGAAGAAGATCGAGCGCATCGGAGAAGTTGGCGGCCCTTCCGGACGGCAGCGCGAGCGGCGCGGACACCGTTCCCAAGCAGGCGCGCGACGATGCTTCAACTCTGATCGGCATTATGTGCGCCGCCGCACTGCTGCTTCATAGAATAACATTCCCTTCGAGCGTCCACGCTACCCGCGCCGCGATCAAGCACTGTTTTCTCGAAATCCTGCCTGGTCAAGAAGCACTGACATGCGGTCCCTCTTCTCGCTCGCAAGCCCTCGCAGATCTCAACGAACGCTGATGTGGATGCTCGTGGCGAATCCGGCCGTTCGTGCGCTTCTCGTGCAGGTGCGTGCTCTTCTCAGGTCTGTCCGACTCCCACCTCGTGTCCACCGCGAGCCTGCGCGCATGACAACGAGCTTCCTTTCAAGTTGATCGGGCTGCCGCACACGGACTGAGCGCGCCTGTGAATGCGCGCACCTGGAACAGGTGCCGCTGGGGGTGTTTTGCCTGCTGCGCCCTCGGACCGCTCGCAAACGGCGAACGGCAATCACGGTGCGCGCCGACCAAGGCAATGCTGTAATTCTAGGCCGTTCTCCTCCACCCGGCTCGCCGCTTACCTTCCCGTCTCACACATACAACTCGTCCCTCACACGCTAAACCATTGGAGCTACCTGACGCAGCGTGCAGGTGTCGCGCTTAGCGCGCATGGACCTCGTCTCAACGTCTGCGCTAGCAAAATGCACCGCACTCTCGTCCTTGTACGCGGACAGTTCTCGCCGTTCTTGAGCCAGCTAGCACGAGAGGCGGTCGGCAGCTCGTGCCCTAGATCAAGTGGTGCTCGTGCACGGTTACGAGTCCTCGGCCTCACCGTGACCTCTCCTCTGCTCTTGTGTGATCTTCGTCCCTAATCCCGTCCTCCGAGATTGAGCTGCTATCAGCCACAAACCAAATAATCGGCTGCTGCTGCTTGCGCTGCCAGTCTATGGCACTTCGTGCACCCGAGGACCAATCCGCCTCTTTCTGAGTTGTAGGTATGTCACCACGTGAGTTTGGACTAGAACGCCTTTGTCACACTCATTGTCTGTCAGCCATTTCACTACCCGCGGACTTGTGTACTAGGATCAGTGCTGATGCGACACCTGGCTGCTCAACGTCTTTGCGGGTTAGTTCATTCTGCGCTTCGTACACACTGCCGATAGACTCTGAGAGCACGCAGGCACTCTTCGTCTCGTGAGTACCCGCCCTTTCTTCTCCGTGCAGCATTGTTGCTGACGTCTTGCGAACGCCGGAAGCTCAACGATGTCGCTAATCGCGTGCATGAGATTTACCTCATCGTAAGAAAGCCAAGAGGTTGCGCGGATATGACAAAGCATACGCCCACCTACGGCCGTACTTCCGCACACCACCTTTCGTGCATTCGCCGGGTACATGGCCGAGAGGCTGAGCGCGGTCGCCTTGCATCGACCTATGATCAGAGCCGGCCCCCATAGGTATGTCACTTTTGTGTATGCCCGATGGGCTTACCTAACATGAGTACTGACAGACGTATGCAGACATACAGCCCCACCTCATTGATCTGGTATGCGCGACAAATCACGGTCAGTTGATGTACTGCTTGAGCGCACTACGGTCTACTGGTATGTCCTCCCGTGCCGTGTAGTGGTGTATGACGTTGCTGAGGTCGGATTCATGCATGCTATGTGGCCATCGCTCGCACGCGCTACTAAGCATTCTTTGAACAAGGGTTGGACAGTATGCGTCGCGCGCGCTCACCAGAATGAGGTGCATCTTATTCAAGGAGGGCAGTCCTCTGGTACTGTACTATGCGTTTCTCGTGCATCGCCGCTGAATGTTAGTGACGTGTGTATCGTTTTGCAAAGGCTTCAGGCCATAGAGGGCTATCCTCGCATCGGATGCGAACAGCTCCGATCTCGCGGCGTTCACCGGAAGCAAAGAACCACTTGCGGCATCGTGTGTCTGTGTTCGTAGCTTCTATATGTGCCGGAGCTCGCGCGCTATGTTGTATCGATGCATATATATACCGCTTATCGTTACCTTCGCTGTCCCTACGCTCCGCTTCTGCCAGCTTCAAGCGTGAGTTCTTGCCGCGCAGGCCATTGGAAGTGTCGACAAGGTACAGCCCTGCTTCACCAACGATATCCTTACTGACATCGTGGTTTGCGTTTAGTGTCGCGACCACCAACTCGCTCGAGCACCGCGAACCGACGACCAAGACGGCGCATCTTGAGCCAGTGTAAATACCGGATACCAGGTAGATCGCACTATTCTTTGTCTTGAAGAGCCGCAGTCTGAGATGATGAGGCTATCAGTAACGTGTTTCCACCGTCCAGGGTCTGCTGCCGCCGCGCACGGGCAGGAGGTTCTCATCTGTGCGACAGCGCGGTCACGTCGCCGTAGCGCACATCCCACGTCAACAGAATGGATAGAGCAGAGTCAATGTAAGTGCCACTGTCCAGACGCAGGTACTTTGGTTTTCACATGTGGATTATAGTACTACAGCTGCATCGACGTCCGAGGGCTCTTCTCACGGACCTGCGATCTCGCGGCTCCCTGTGGAGGTCTGCGAACGGATCATCGACTACCTAGCTGCGGGATGGGATACGGGTCACGTTGTTGCAAAGGGCGAGCCACATCTGACCACTCTCACATCCTGCGCCCTCGTATGCCAAGACTGGTACTACCTAACGTGGTACCATCTTCGTCAACGCATCCATCTACGAGACCGGACGGACGTCCTCTCGCTCTCCAAGACGCTCCGCGCAAAACCTCGCCTCCGTGAGGTCATTCAGCAGGTCGTCATATCAGGTGGTTCTCCCGGGGAGCGCCAACCGATCCGGCACCTGGGGACGTTTGCCGCTATGCTCGCGGGCAAGGCTCCTAGGCTGTCGAGGATCACCATTGAAGATGCTGAGTGGACCATCGGCTCGGTCCGAATGGATGACATCGGCTTCCTGGGGGTCTTCAGCTCCATTGACGTTCTTTGCCTCTACAATGTCACCTTGTCGAGCGCCGCCCAGCTGTCCCACCTCGTTTCAGCACTCCAGCGGCTTAGGTATTTATGGTGCTCCAATGTTGACTGCTTGCAGAAACAGCACGTCTCCCCGGCCTCTCTCCCACTGAACTGTGCAAGTCTGAAGTATCTCGATGTGCGATGGGTTGCACCAGCAGTCGAAGACCTCTTCGTGCAGATCAGCCGGGCTTCTCGAGTGCGCGATCTCGCTCTTGGGGTGGACGGCGAGTTGGATCCATCCTCGGCAGCCAGCAGAGGCCAGACTTTGCTGGATGCGAGTTCCACATCTGCAGAAGTGGTTCGACTCGATATCGATCCCAGTTCTCCTGTTCGTGACGATGCAATTGATGCCACAGTCGGCAGGTTTTCCTGGTTATCTCTCGCGCCACGTCGCTGATTGTTTCATGCCTACAGAGCGACATTGCAACCTGTCACACCACGACCAGCTGTGGAAGTTGGAGATCTGGCTGTACGACCCCTTTGCAGAGTGGCCCTGGATCCCGCACATCCTGTCTCGCATCGTCTCGAAGCACTTCCAAGCTATGTCTGTTATGTTATGGCTTCGGATTGACCACATGGCCGAAGACCTGGACGGGCTGCTGACGACGATGGAGCAGGATGATGTCCTGGCGCGATTGGACAGTATACTGCAGGAGAAGCGCTTCTCCGGTACTGTTGCGTCGCGCGGCTTCTGTATAGGCATTGGCGTTAATGGAGACTATTGGACGTCTGGCAATACTGGGATGCGTTCAGCACTACGAGAGCGGTACGATCGGTTCGACGAGCTCATCAGGCGGAAGATGCCACACTCGCATGGACGAGGTATATTGAGGTACGTAGTACTATGGACTTGGTCAAGTCGCGCAGGAAAGCTGAGTGTCCCTTGGAGCACTCTGCATAACACCCCACAATTCCGCAGCTGGAGGGAGGACATGGATAATATACATCGTCGCCGTATGCAAGTTGAACAGAAGAAAACCACCGGAGAGGATGCGCACCCCCGGCCCAAGGGTCTTCGACGCAACACGTATTGACATCCCTGCAACCCTGCATCCTGACTCGTATCGTCGCATGGAGTTTGTGAGTATAGGACCATCATCGTGAGGCCTTTCTGCTAATTTGTTGCGCGGTCCCAACGTACAGAATGGCCCCGCGGCCGCAACGTGGGTCGATATGTCGCTATGGTCGGAGAAAGAATTCGCGCCCATTTACTTATGCTTGTATCGCATATGATCATTTCTCGGGTATTGAAGAATTGGACGGACGGCGGTACGGTTGTGTCCTCGAGACAGACATTCGATTGTTCTAGATTTCAAGTTTTCGTCAGTTCTACGGTCGCACTTGTTTAACTAAGCTTAGGCTTGAGCGCGTGAGCCACAGGGAGAGCACAACACGGGGAGCACAACCGAGTTCACCGAAGTCTTCCACCGCCAGATAACGTCGGTGAACGTTGAGGGTCGAGCGGGACTATCGTCATACGACCTCCTGGTGCCTCAACGCGCAACATGGAGGTCTTGCGAGCACACAACAGTAAGCACAGGTACTGCATAACAGAACATCGTCGTGGCAGACTCGCTACTTGCGTGCAAACCTACAGTATCATTGTGCTTTATGAGATGGTGAAGCGTACGGCCCGAGTACCGTCTAGTGTATTACCGGGTAGCGATGTATAGTATGGATACAGATGTGGTAAAGCAGGAGGATTAGCTCGTACGCACAGGCATCACCCGGGGTGATATAGAGAACGCGGTAGCCTCTAAGCGTATACCTCAGGCTCAGCACGCGGGGCTCACGAGCCGACGCTGAACGACTCTCCGCACCTTGTTGTTCGGGTTCTTGACCACGAACTTCGCGCTGCGCATACCGAGCTAGGTGAGCACGATCGGAGGCCGGAACACGGTAAGATAACACACCTGAGCGCGTTCACGTACCAGTCCATCTCGCTGCCGATGATGGAGAAGCGCGCCTTGCTGTCGATGAGGACCTTCACGCCGTCCTGCTCGACGACCTCGTTGAACTTGCCCGGCTTGTCGACGTACTCGAGGTGGTACGAATACCTGGCGCAGCCCTGGCATCGCCCGTTTATCCGTATGAGCTGAGGCGTGGGCCCTTGAACAGTGCGCGGAGCCGCTGCGCAGCGCCGGGTATCTGCACCGCACGCCGTCGGCCTGCCAGCGTACAGGTCGTGACTCGTGGGTGGAGCGGTCCGGGGCTGCGCAGGACAGCTTCGGTCGGCTTCACGGTGGGCTTGCGCCGTTCGGCCTTCAGGGCGGGCGGCGGGCGCGCTGCTGCTTGCGACGACGTCGCGTCGGGGGAGAGCGAGTTCGTCGACGGCTCTTTCGGCTTCGGCTTCTAGATGGGAATGACCACAGGGGGTGTCTGTCCCAGCGGCTTGGACGGTAGGGATGTTGTGGTCGGTGGATGTTTCGGTCAGCGGATGTTTCGGTCGGCGGATGTTTCGGTCGGCGGATGTTGTTGTCGGCGGGTCGTCGCTAGAGAGGGCGGACATCATGGCACGGCGGTGGGTGGGGAGAAAGATCATGGCCCCGCTGGACGAGGACGCAGTGAAGGAGGATGCGAGGGAGAGTAGGCATTGCGTGCGGTGGAGGCGAGCAACTGCGGATGCTATGGCTGCGGCGTTCGGGAGAGATGTTGTCGAGGGAGAGGACGGCGAGCATGGGGACGGAGACAGAAGAGTGGTGTCAGAGGATCGCGTTTGTGCGGTACCTACTGCGGACGAGGCGGCCGAGGTTGCCTGAAGTACGGGAACCGAGCACGACGTCGAGAGGTGACCCGATCAGGTACACGAATGGCTTCGGCATGCTGAGGTGCGCGTATGCATTGAGCGGATAGGCGAGGTAGGTCGTCGACGGCGTGATGGTGGACACATACGGGGTGATCACGCTTGCGACGGGATAGCGCGAACGGTGTGAGCCGCATGCGATGGAGGGCGGACAGAGGGGTCGAGGGTTGCTGACAGCGACAGAGGGCGGAGGATGATGAGGGGAGAAGACTGGTAGTCGCCAGGCTCGAGGGTTGCCGGGAACGTGAGCTCGCGGTAATTGGGCTTGAGCGCGGTGACTCCCCGCCATGATTGAGTCGCGACACGGCGTAGGCTGGCGTCTCGTCGTAAGGGATGAAGTCCTGCTTGATATGCATTCGCAATTCCCTGCTGTCGGAAAGAACGCGTGCGTGGCGAGGACAAGCACCAACAAAACACGCGCGCTCGTCCTGATACCGGGAGGTCGACTAGTCGATGGACGTAGGGCTCGGTGAACGATACGACGACGGTGATGGTCTGTAACGAGTAGTTAGGCCGTCGAGACTAAAGGAACACTTACCGACGTTCTGCTCGACTTGCTCCTCGAATAGTGTTGCACACGCGACGGTCTCGTCGCACAAATGTACCGGAGTCGGGACTGCGAGATGAGAGAACTGCAGAGAAACTCGATAGCGGTCAGGACGACGCTGCCCAGTGCTAAGACACACGAAGAGACACGAGCCATTGAAGCGAGAGGGAGAGACAAAACAACTAGCACTAGTAGTAAAAGCTGAAGAGCGAGAAAGAGACGTCGGCGAGTGGGAGGCGGTTCGAAAGAAGCGCGACGCGTGAGTGGTTGACAGATCGGGAAGGAATGATACCGAATAAGGAAAGTATCGTACTGCAGCCATATGAACACCCTTCTGGGCGACGGACGTACCTTGAGTCCCCTTCCGGCGTTGAGCAACGGACCCGTGTCTCGGTACGAGGTTTGCTGCACGCACGCGGTGCTATCTGCTAATCGCGCCCTAGGTGCGGCACTTAACTCGTCGTCGTGGCGCTCGTCCCGTCTTACTTGCGGGTCCGCGTCGCAGCCTTCTGGTTCGTCGCAAGCGCGCTGATAAAGTTAGTAGCATAGTAGGGTAACCGTATGGTCAGAGTCTTCCAATAGACGCACTCAGCGAGTTGGAGAGACGAGCGAATAGAAAAAACAATTGTACCAGTGCAATGACGCCCGTAGGCGCCGAGTCCGACGTGTGACGGTTTTCCCCTCCACACTTTCCGATGCTGCACTGGCTGTGCAAGTACTGTACGCTTCCCGCCGCGCCCGTGCTTCACGCGCCAGCGTTGCGCGCGTTGGTGTCCATAGAGTAGTGATCGGGCGGCTGTAACATGACATCCCGCCTCGGCGATTCACCACTAACCCTAGTCTCGGGGTCCCCCGGCGCCACGCGCGCGTTGTCAGTGCACCGAGCATGTACATGACCACCACATCGCATCGGCGGACAGCAACAGACTCGGCCGGACACCATGGGTTGACGTGTTCACGAACACCAATGGGCCCTCACTGCAAGCCACCATGTACCGTTGGTCAGCAGGATTCCTGCACTGATAGAATCCTGCGCCACTCGACTCTCACCAAGCCATCGACACGCGGGCTCTCGCAGCTGATGTGAGTACCGTGTAGACACACCAAACACTGTTATACAGGTGTCGCTCCGGCCCGCCACAGCTTAGCTGCTTCCGCAGCGGGCAGGCGGGGCTTGAGCAGAGCGTGGAAGCCTCGAGAACTTCGCATACAGCCTGTCCCCGTCTCGCTGTCACTATCACTCGTGCATCAAATGGCTTCCATCCGCCTCAGCTGGCAGCTCACAACGTCCCGCCCACAGCCATCCGCGAGCAGCCGGGAGACTCCAAGCGACACGTCATAGACGAGCTCGAACAACTCATGCTGCAAACGCCGAAGAACTCCCCGGACAGGTACCCAGCCCGCAACAAGCTATTAAGGCACCTTCCTTGACGCGGTCCTTGCCAACCCAGGGACACTCGCCGTCTACGATTGAGCCACCGCCGCTTAGCCAAGGCGCTGGATAGCGCACCCGCCCCGACAACCAGCGGGCCCCATCACAAGGAGTCACCGTGCGCGTGGGGAGGTGTGTGCCAGACATGCGGGTTTCTACTCGAACCCAGCTAACCCAATCATGCGCAGGCCGCCGATGTCGAACGATCTCCATATGTACGCACTCAACACCAGTACGCGCGATGGAACGCGCTGGGATCCCGGCGCACGAAGCCACTCTTCTCCTACCGTTCCCGCTGCCAAACTACTCATCGCCCGTGTGCGGGGGCGCGCGGCGCGCGGTGGCCAATCTCGCTCGAAAGATCAAGCCGTGCGCATCAATGCGACCACTCGGAAAGCTCACGCACGCTCATCTTCGAGGGCGGCGTCTTCAACTATGGGCAAACTCGCACGTCGCGCATTTCCACAACTGCACGTCGCTCTCGCTCGCGCCCAGCGCCCTCCCTACTTCTCCACGCCGCAACCGCAGTGAGACTACGCGGTGCCCTCTGTCGATGTTCGCGTTGGCTTCGGGCCGGGTGGTCGCATCCAGAGGGCGCCGACCTCTCTGCCTCGCAATTTCCCCCTCTGACTCGCCCATCACGGTGGCCCTCTTGGACGATCGGGCGCAGAGAAGTCGGCAGCCCTTCCGGCGGGCGGTAGTGCGAGCGGCGCGGACATCATTCCCAAGCAGGCGCGCGAGGATGCTTCACCTCTGGCTGGCATTCTGCGCGGCGCCGCACTGCTGTCGCACTGGATAACGTTCTCTTCGAGCGTCCCCGTTACCCGGCACTGCTTCCCCGAGTATCCTGCCTGGTCAAGCCCTGACGCGTGGACCCTCTTCCCACTCCCAAGCCCTCGCAGATCGCAAGGACCACGCATGGGATGCTCGTGGCAAATCCGGCCCTCGTACGCTTCTTGTGCAGCTGCGCGTTCTTGTCAGGTCTGCCCGACTCCCGCCTCGTGTCCACCGCGACCCTTCGCGCGTGACAACGAGCTCGATCTGGCTGCCGTGCACGGACTGAGCACGCCTGTGAATGCGCGCAACTGGGACCGGCAATGCAGGGGGTGTTTTGCCTGCCGCGACCTCGGACCGCTCGTAAACGGCGGACGGCGAGAACGGTGCGCGCCGTCCAAGGCAATCTCCCGATTCTAGGCCTTTCTCCTCTACCCGGCTCGCCTTTACCTTCCGTCTCACAGATTCAACTTGTCCCTCACGCGCTATAGCCATCGGAGCTACCTGACGCAGCATGCAGGTGGCGTGTTCAGCGCGCATGAACCTCGTCCCAGTAAGTTATCTGCCCTGGCGACATGCACCGCACCTCCACGACCTCCCCGGGCTGCGTTCAGCCGCCAGGTGTCATGCTCACAGCCTACGAGCGGAAGGTACCGGTGGTAAAGTTTGTGCGCACACGGCGGACAGCATCCACACGCACTTCGAGGTCGACCACTGGCAGAGCCAGCCGGGCGCAGGCGGCAGGCAAGTGCGCCGGATGGACCTGACGCGCACCGTCGACGACATCTGCAACTATAGCACCGCGTGAGTGGCCCCGCCTGTCCACGCGTGTGGGCACCCTGCTGAACCGTGATCTGGGTGTAGGTCGTGCCCCGAGAACGTGCCGGGGCCGCATACGCATCGGACAACGTTCCCTGCCAAGGCGCTGGACGACGCGAAGCCGATCGAGCAGGCGGGGCTCGTCGACGCAATCGTCATCTCCAGTGGTGAGTGTCGGTGGCCTCCCAGGTTCAGGAGCCGCTGCTGCCGACGCGTCTGCGAAGACTCCCTGCCATTCCTGATGAGGGATCTACCGGATTTCATAGCACGCTTCTTCGCGCAGAACCCACCATATGCGGCACATATCAACTTCTCCGGGACGACTGAGAGGTGCAGGAAAACTCGTTGCTGACCGCAAGCCCTCTCTGGCCATCCGCGAGGAGTTCGGCCTGAGCAATATAGCTCACGCGCTCTATGTCATTCGGGCCGAGACTGATCATGCCGCGGAGGTTGCGGACGAGTGGCAACATGTAGTTTACCCAGTGATATACGCGCGTGTCGTGGCCTTGTGTACGTACCGAAACGATCGCTCCATGCTGTTCGTCGAGAATACCGAAAGTGTATACACAAATTCCTTGGCTCTCTCACCGCCATTCATGACCGTAAACACTGTCATGAAGCGTTCTACATGGCCTCCGATGGTTTCTCCTCCGAGGACCTTCATGATGCCCACAACGGTGCGACTGGCGCGTGAGCGTGACGGAAGTGTATTCGGATCCACACGAGACACTACGGGAACAAAGAGCCGCGAACGATCGCGGACAAGCCTTGGACGGCTCATGGAGGTTCCAAAGAGACGGCTGGGATGCACTGTGGCCGCAATCGTGAGACGGGTCAGAGGCATAGGCAGACGAGGCGAAAGCCTACCTTGCAAATCAATCTCAAGAGCCGGTTGCTGCGCCAGGGCTAGTAGTCATCTTCCAGCTCTTCCAGTCGCTTCCTCGCCCCAGGCTCCGTCAACCCTAGAAGCAGCCGGCGTATGCGGGGTCCTGCATGTGCGCGCAGTCCTCTCCTACCAGATACAGATGCCAAAGAGAAAGGAACTCGCCGCCATGGTATTCATTCTTGCGACCGCGCTTCAGGTGTTCCAGCGTATCCTCGACCCAAAGGGCGTTGACGAGCACGGACAGGACGGGTCACGGCGAAATGGGGATTCATCGCTGTCTTTGGCAACGGTCTGGTGGAGCGGGAAGTGCTCAACTGTGGCCATCGGGTTCGGGCGCGGCCAGGCGGTGAGCTTGGCGACGCAGTCCAACGACTTGAGCGCGGTCTCGTGTTCGGGCTTGCGATGCGCGACGCCTTTCTAAGACACCCTGACCGTGGTATGCGACCGGATTCTGTGAGACACGTTAGATGAATGTCGATACGGGCAACAGGGGGCTGGAAGAACAACACCTGCAGCGCGTTGGCAACCTCAGATGGGATCGATGCCAACGAAATTCTTGTAGAACGCTCGCCCCTCGGCCTCTGAACCGGTGTAGAAGATGATGACCATGCAGGCTTGCCGTTGGGCCCAACGACTACTGTCTGGATCTGCGAGGACTTGTCGCCCGGGTCACGGTGGTCCCACTACTGCGCAGTGACCTCGGTTAGAACCTTGAGCTAACTACGGTCGTATATTGCGACGCAGCGAAGTCGGTTCAGCGCTGGTTGTAGAGCTAGTAGAAACCGAGATCAGAGACGACGCCGGAGTTTGACCCGCCATCGCGGATGCCCCAACATAGATCGGTGTTCTCTGTCTTTACGACCGGTCCATCAGCGAGGACAACGGTGGCCTAGGAACACATGAGGATACGTGCAGCATAAAGCTGAACGAGACTCACTTTGAGGACGTCGTCGAGGGCGATTCCGTGAGACGGCGACAGGTAGCCGCAGCCTCCGCCGAGGGTCAGGCCGGCTATACCGCCATGTTGAGCATCAGCGAACGCGTAGTCATACTATGCGGATATTAACGAAACATACATCGTTGACCGTACCGCCGACTGTCGCAAGGCCATGATACTCAGTTGCGGCCTTGTCGATGGCCTCGCAGATCGCTCCGCCGGAAACGTAGCCGATCTTCCTCTCAGGTTCAACGCGGGCGTAGTTGAAGTATTAATTCAGGTCAATGATGACGAGACCGCCCTCGCGGTGAAGGATGGGCATGCAGGGTTGTGACCACCGCCCTTGATAGCGATCTCAAGGCCATGTGAACGTGCGTACTGGACTGTGAATGCGCGTTCTGGACTGCGAGCGAGATGTCTTGTACATCCCTGACGAAGCGACGATCTTCGCATTGCGCTTCGCGTTCATCGCCCAGCGCGCAATCGCCTCGTCATGATCGGAGCTCTCGGGAGTGTCAGATCACCCTTGGACTCTGCAGGAAAGTCGGGCAGTGGAGACTTGGCATCCGTGCGTGAGCTGTCGGTGCGGCAGGCATTCATAATCATAAGTGCCAGGCGAGGACAATCGTAGCGCTGCGGGAAAGGGTGTCAGAAACTCAGGCTGACACCGCCGCACATGTACAGTAAGAGGTCAGGAGCATACCTTCAACCGTTCAGCATGCACGCAAACATGCCAGGTCGTCTTGGGAGGCTTGCTGATGCAGCAGGTGGGCATCGAAAGGGGAGATCACCGCGTAGCGCAGGCTTTGATGTCAGGTTGCCGCAGCTCGGTGATCGTAGCCTTGGTCCGGGCGAGCTAGAATCTCAGGGACAAGGGCCGGACAAGCTAGGATGAAATCCACGTCTGCGCTGTTATAAGCAGTATCCGTGTGCCCTAACGCAATGCCACTGGAAGATCCGCAATATCGTGACATGCCATGGCACGATGGGAGGAACGTCGCGTTGTTCTCGATGAAATGGCATTGTAGATTGCTGCAACTCACGTTCAATACAAGGTCTGGCGGGACTGAACGAACGGTGGGAGTGAAATGGACCGAAGTTTCCTGGTGTTCTGCGGTCGATGTCTTCCGAGAGACCCCGCGGGTCAGGCGAGGAACGAGGCAATGCGAGGGAACTACGAGCCGTGTCTCATAGGAGATCCAAACCTCGTATACTCAGTAAGCATACGATGCATCGAGTTGAGTCGGACAATACGAAGAGACGACGTACCTAGGGATCTAAGGAGAGGTGTGCACGGATGCGCTAGCATTAGTCGGCATGTATGGGCGATTACTTATAATGCATCTGCTCAACGTTCAACGGTGCTAGGCAGCCGTATGATGGCACTTACCTTCAGGTACTGCCCGCGCAACGGACGAACAGACATACAGCTTCACTACGTGTCTGTACTCACGAGCCCGGAGGACGGCCACTTCCGTGACCTTGCAGTGGTTGTATTGACTACTCGTGAACGCTCAGTGACGACGTCGGACAATCCTAGGACGGTGTCGAGACGAAGAGGCAGACGCCGGAGGCCCAGCCTGAGACGTTGATGTGTCAGGAAGGCAGCCTTGAGTGAGCACGAGAGCCACGGTGACAAAGCAGGGTAGTTAGGAGTCTTAGGACTAGTGGAGAGTTTGGCCAAAGAGGTGGCGGGGCGAAAGGGCACGTTTCCAGCGTTGGTATGTAGCCTGAAGGAGATGGCACTGCGACGGGCGGAGCATCGAAGGCAGCCAGTGCGTCGGTATCTTCCTGGAAAGTGCGGGCGGACCACCCTCGACGGTTGCAGGAGTCACGCATCGTGCCAGACTGGGCGGTGAAAACGACGACGAGCGTCGAGCAGGCAGCGAGTCGACCGGTCGGATAAATGTCGGAGAAGGCGGGCGGATACGGTTGCCCGATAGTCCGAGGCCGGGCATTTTGCACGACGCGCCTCTGCCACATCGCGTCGCTCGTCCTCCGCCTCCTCTATATCCTCCGGAACTCATACAACACTCACGCTACCACCCCCAAAGCATTCCTACTGCACCGAAAGCACTGCGAACGCCAAAAAAGCGGCACTGGCAAGTCCATACTGGCCTGAAAATTCGAAAAAGCTCGACGACCCCGGGGAAGTGGTAAGCGCCCGACGGCGTCGCGACTCCCTCGAACTTGGATGCACAAGTCTGGACGATACAACTACATATGATGCATGGCTGCGTCTTACAAGTTTGTGAGATGTCGATCAGTTGTGCAGCTTACATATCATATCTAGGATGATACGACCCTCGGTTACCGGTACTGATACCGCAGTGTAAGACCCTGTAAGACCTTCCAAGACTCTCGATGTATGCATCCGGCTCGCATGCAATGTCTGGCCCAACCTCCAGCGGAGCAATAATGTAAGGTGACGTACACATAGGCAGATGTACGGTACGGGTCACAAGATATATATTTGTGGTTCTGTCGATATACACGAACCTCCGCAGCACAGAACAAGACAAGGGTAGACTACCACTCATTTGTCACGTCGATACATACCTATGAAAGCACCATTGCTTCTCCTACTCTCGACACCTCATCGTGCTTGAGTATGGCGGTGGACTTCGCAGACCAGTCACTTGTCTTGCAATGCTGTCCGGTTCAACATGGGCTGCCATTCCGATTTGAGCCGCAGCCTTGAAGTACATATTGTATGTGAATAGCTCACCATACAATATACCCTGTGCCCGTGAAAGCACCTCTCTTATCACGCCCTTAGTATTTCCAGAAAGGGGGTGTAGGTAACCAGGCCCCCGGCAACTACCCTTGATGTTTGTCCGCCGAACTGACCGTGGAAGGGCCTCGTTCACCCAATGTTTCTGCTGTGGTTCACCCAATATCGGACAAAGATGTCACAAGTTCTACATCACGTGATGAGTGTCACGTTAGTTTGTCACCCCATTTGCGCTCTCTTCATGCCTCTATTATGGCCAGGTGAGGTAATGAGCACACTCAAGCATACTAGGATGACATATCACAATGAGATGACCATCAAATACATGTGGCTCGGTAAGCCACAGGAAGTATTGAGTGTAATATTGGTGATTATATGGTGGCGCCCCTCCGGCCCTCGCTCGGTCACCCTATATCCGGACAAAGATCGGGCGGCCAGAGGCCTCCACCACCCAATAACGGATCGTAGCGGCGCAAGCGCCGATCCCCGACTCCTGCATGGCACACAGCTACTCAGCTTGCCACAGCGGCACCATAGTATGGTATGTACAGTAACTAGCAGGCTGCCCGTGCGCCACACAGGTAATCCTGTGTCACTGAAAGTATCTCTCATTGGCACCAGACTTGCTTGGTACTGACTGACCTGCAGTGCCAGGTGACGTGCGAGTCGTTGGAAGCCTCAGTCGAACAGAATGGACTCATATGCAATATGATTGATCTACGCAGCAACTCCCTACACATGTCTGGGCTGTTCCTTATCCAACATATCATCTATGTATTCTAGCTCACCATCTAA